TATATATATATATATATATATATATATATATATATATGGTCCGTGCGGTAGACAGATGAGCCAGCTTACAGGGTCATCGTGCTGTTCCGAAGCCTGTTTGCTAATGACTTCCAATAGGTCTCTGACTGCATTCTCAATCTCCAGAGAACGAGCATTGAGCAGCTCCGCAGACTTAGCAACGTGATGCTCTTGCATCTCGACAAAGCGATTTAGAGATATCACTTCTCCTGGGGCCGGAAGATCGACTAGGAGAATTTCACCCAAGGACTGCAAATGCGCAATGCTGCATGCATGCGTGCATTTATCTTTAGGAGTAGATTCAGCTGATGCCTGAAGTGGTCACAGAAGCAGATGGACACCCACCTTAATGTTGTTTTCTATCCTGTTCTCCACAATATCGTTAACTGTTACAACCAGCAAGTCCAGCTTCTCCAAGGCGCTGGTTGCAGACTGCAAGAAGCTTTCAATGTTTAGAGAAGCCCATGTTAAATTATTGAGCCCTGGATTAAGCTGTTTCTCAAAGTTGTCGAGGTGCCTTTGTAGGAGGCCGGCAGTCACCGGACGAATTGCCGAAGACACCCTCTGGTACTCCTGAGTTACAACAAAGAATTTCCAATAGCGACGCATCAGAACCAAGTCCTGATGAGTCTAAAGCATCGCCTTACATATCAACCAGTGACCATAGGTACCGATTTAAACCCTGTGTCGATCGCTACGCAGTGCATGATGGCCGAAACTTCATTTTCCGTTGCAGAAGAAAAGAGGCAAAGTGAATAAGCTCGCTCTTGCGCACATCGAGAACAAACTTAAGTTCGTCGTAGCACCGCTTCAGTTTCTTCTCCCTCAGAAACACAATACGACCGCTATCGGGTATTTCCATGTCCATCCTCTCCATGATTTTCGCCTCTCGAATCAACCGTGCGATATCCCCATCGAAGTTAATCGACAGCTTTCCGGTACTTGGGTTTCTCATGAGAAGGTTGCTGTTCAAACAGTCTGCTGTGGCTTGAACGCATTCTGTCCAAGCTTGGTGCCACCTCAGTTCATATTCAACCAGCGTCTCAGCCACCTATATGGAAAACAAAGTTCCCAGGCATTTGTAGGGGTTATGGATGCTCTCAAATAACCGAGGAGGTGAAGACCCCTATGAGCGCCGGACATTTCCCCTGTGCACTAGTGTAAGGAGCCTGCAGGGTCAGGAGGCTGGGAGGCTGAAGAGCTTACTCTGTTGTAGAGCTTTATTGTACGTTTTCCCTCTTTTGTCGCTAGTGCAGATGGGTAGAGCTGAAACTGCTTCATGGGGTCCTGCGAATGCAGTTGAAAACATCCTCGTCCCCCCTCAATGAGCGATTAGCCAAGTGTGGTCTCATTTACTTGGGAGGCTGCCCTTTTCCTATTGTTTGTACTGGAGCCTGGCCGAATCACAACGGCCAACGGCGATTCAGAGGGGCATATTACCTCAATCTTTTTCAAGAGATCCCGAGCCCAAATAATACTGTTAGGGATGGGCGGCATGTCTTTGCTCGCTGGTGGGTTCGCCCTTCGCCGTTCGTATTCTTCTTGAATCTGCACGCCCGCTTCAACACGAAAGATGGATTTCCAGAGTCTGAGTAAAAGAATACCACCATTTCAACTGAAGGGCCGAGGCTGATTTCTTACCTGAACGAGTTCAAGACTGTAACGGTGGATAATCAGGCTGATTTTGCCTTTCAGCTCCGCCTTGAGGCTCTCGCTGTAGACTGTTTCTTGCAGCTTTTGGAGCAATCTCAGAGACTCGTCTATGGACGATGTTGTCTCGAAAATCTACATTGCAATTCAAAACATCCTGCACTTTTACCGGCACTCGGCAGGAGTGAAACGTGCTGTGGCTTAGCACATGGTTCCTCTGCTACTTTTTTTCTGTCCCCCGTTATCGATTTGCTCACTTACCATGTTTATCTGAGGCAGCATATCGCTCTCTAGGTCCGAAATGCGAACGGAAAACTCCACAAAATCGCGGTCAAAGCGGTTGTTGTAAAAGTCTAGTAGGTCATGGCGCTTGACTTTGAAGTCACTAAAAATAGACTGAGTCCACAGAAGCGAGCGACTCAACCCCTGTGCAGGTTTACAGCTGTAATCAATACACAACTTTCAGAAACATACATATCACACTTACTCCACATAACTGTTGCATTCAAGGGTCTGACAGCACCTTATTGTACAGTAGTGGTTGTGAGTGACAGTAGTTTGCCCGCCGGTCGGACGCACCTTAAAGCGATCTACGAACACATCCATCCCCTCGAATCTCTGTTCACCAATATTCTTAAACTGCTGAACCGTTGAGTACTGCCGACAGCAACACAAGCAGGTGACTAGACAAAGAGTAGGTCAATTGGCTGTCACTCTCCACATTTGCCAGATTAGCGTGGAAAAGCTGAACAATGCTTTAAGGAGGGGAAACAAGTCTCATATACCATCATTATCAGCTTCTGAAGCCGCCGGCAGAATAAGTCCATCCTGCCGAAGATTTCTTGTTCGGACAGGTCGAGCTGCTTCCCCTTGGGAATGGCAACGAGGCTCTCCCGAGTCGCTCGATACTGGTCGTGATACTCATTGTTCAGCGTCAAGCAGTACTCCAACATTGGAATAATAACAGCTGGTTCACTCTCCCATAGAGCTTCGTGATGCTGGCCACCCGTGAGCCATGTTCGGCAGTTTGTTATCATCTGTGTTGAAGCATAAATACGACGTGAGTGATCCTCAGCATAAACAACTAATCGTGCTACTGCTTGAGATGGAGGCTTACGAATGCCAAAACACCAGTTTACCTGCTACTATTTGATATGGAGGCTTACGAATGCCAAAAGAGCAGTTTACCTGCTTCGTTATCTTTGCAAAGAAGGCAACCATACGTTCGGTCGTGTTGTAGTATCGCGATATAGAGTAAATCATGGTTATCGCGCTCATCAGCGGGTTAAGGCTTTCAAGGATGCTTGCAGGGGTTCCTGGAAGCGGCACAGACTATTGGAAACAGCATATGATGCCTTTTCCTTCTAATTGTACACGGTCTTAAAACCCTATGAAGTGCGTGAAAAGAACTTGGAACACAGCAAAGATGTGCAGTTAAAATTCGGACTTTTCAATACTATCGGCACGGTGAAACGTTGTACCGGAATAAAGAGGATCGACGAATCTCTCAAGGGTTGTCAAGTACTTCACGTTGTCCTTAGCCTCATTAAATGCCTCCGTAATGGCGACGTCAAGCTGCTTGCAGCGTCTTAGCGTGTGGAACACAGCTTGGCGCGACTTGGGCGCAACTCCAGTAGTCAGCTGTTTGCACGAGCACTCGCACGCACACCTGAATGTGGGTTAAAGACCAGCAGAGTATCATTTAGGAATGAATAGCGGTCTTCAAAGAAAAGGCTGACAAGAGCTTAACAGGCCATCTACAATTTTTTGAAGCGATGCGGACCCACTTTCGTGACTGCGTGCAAGACTTGGAAGACGGTGTGGCAGAAGTCGCTCTTCAACTGTTGAATAATCGAACTGAGCTTCCGCATGCGACTCCTCCAGCTCTCAATCTGCTCACAGAAAGCAGCCCTCAAAAAACCTACACCCATTAGCATACTGAAAGACTCATCCGCATATCACGTCTGTCACAAGATGTAATGCAAAGCCTGTACATATATACATAGATATTTAGCATGTCCTAAATATTTAGGACATGCTTGCCTCGCTGCGAGGGCCGGTGTCGACTTGGGCTGCGCTTCTGTCCAGAGATGTTTCCAAGTATTTCTCAATCTGGCGGCACCATTCGTCTAAGAGCTCCTCAAAGTGTTCCACTACGTCGGAGTCCTTGGCAGCACTAGTGTAATCCTTCCTTATCTCAGCTAGAGAGAACCTGGAGTAGTTCAGGACCAAAGCTTCAATATGCATATGCCACTTCCAACCCGTATTACGTGCAACTCAAATTTCACTCCCGGTACATGTGGGATACGCTCAGTGAACCGACTACCATAGAACTGGAAGGTTGGAGCTTGAGGGTTTAGGGTTAGGCACCTCGAGTCTGGCCTCCTTAGCTGTATGCCATGGGCCAAAGAATCAATTGCCTCTCCCAATTCCTTGCAGAAGTTGCGGGTGCAAGAAAGAAGTTCACTGCGCTGCTCTTCAGGACACTTTTTCCTGCGGGCACCTGCTCAAACTCTTTCAATTGCCATGCAGAAGACGGTCAGAACTATAAAAGGTTCCGTTACCACCCTCCACTCGCTGTATGCTTCTGCCTTTACTTAGCTCAACACAGGCAGCAAGTGATGCACTTTCTGAACTCCAGTGGTAAGCGGAAGCAGGCGCATGCAACGGCAAAAGTGCGTCTGCCGTCTCGATGCTGGGGTGTTCTGTCGTTGTTAGCCTCTTCGCAGTCAACCTACCAATCAGTATTATCAAAATGCTCTACTGCAGGGAGAAAGACACTGGCCAAGGTGGAGTGGAGGCCCTGAAGCGGCAGCTCTGGGAGTTCGCCGAAGATAAGCTCGGCGTCTGCTGCTGCATTCAGATTCACCGATTTTCCAAAAGGAATAGTTCGAATGAAGTAAACATGTTTGCTGCCATGTTCCTCTGAAACTCCCTCTGTAGCACACAGCCACCGATTTACCCCGATATAGGGATGAAGGCCCTCGATTCTGAAAGCTGGGGGGCGCGACATATGAAACGCCAAGCTTTGCATAGAAATGTTTGGCATTTTAAGTCCCCTTCTGGTTTGATTAATACTCAGTATACTCGTGTGTGCTTCTTCTACTGCATTAGTTTCTTTGAAATTTCTCCTGCTATTCCCGTTGTTTCTCCCCGCAGCTGTCGCACCTGAGCAGATGAGTTTTCCGGGAATGTCTGACTGAGTTGCTGATGGGTTGCTTCTGACTCTGTAAGAGAACAGCAAGTGCTGCGTTGCTGAAGTTCCCTTTAGGAATGGGTCTACTTTAGGGGCAAACTGATCCCTAAAATGACTCTCAACAAGGGGTTCGAACTCCGTCAGATCAAAAGAAGAAACCACTTGAGCAACCATCCACCTGTGCCGCGGTGTCAGCGTCGCCATTTTCGCGACACGCTATGCAACACCTGCAAGCGCTTTTGTCGTTGTTGTCTTTGTGCAGGTGGAGATATATAGAAAAGCCACATTCAGCAGGTGTGCTTCGAGAGCTGGCGCTGCCACGTGTCTGCGTCCCCTCCGTTGCTTATTCAGTCATAATGAGTAAATATGCAGGTGAATTACACTCAACAGAATTAAATAAATACTAGAGGGATTTTAACAGGTTGACAAGATCCTTAAAGGACCGTACGCTCCTCAACTGAAGGTCACCTTTTAGGTGACCTCTGCCTGTAGCCAGCAAACACAGCGAGTGGTGTTGTTTGCTGCGTTCGCAGGGCTAAGAAGCAACAGAGAGCAGCATTTTACTTTGTTTCGAGATGGAGACAAGGACAACAAGTTAGACGAATAGATCTGCTCTACTATCCACGGTCGCCAGGTGCACCGGCTACGGTGGAGGAGCGCCGAAGTCACTAGGGGTAGGCCAAACAGATCTTGCAACAAACAAATGCAGAAATCATCTTCAGAAGTTCAGCATTTTGCGGAAGAGGGTTTGCCAGTGGTCTGTCTGTCAAGAAGCCCCAACCCACCAACATGCAGCAGCAGCAGCTGCTGCATGTGAGTGCTGCCGCTGTTAGTTGCGCTGCTGAGGCGTCTCCTTTTGTTGTTTCGCCTCTCAAACACCTTAAGAGGAAGTAAATAGATGCAAGGGTAAGCGTCCACACGTGCCCTGGATACCGTCATGTGTGTTTTCTTGGCTCTTGCTCGGTGAATCAAATCTTCAGAACCTCTTCCCTTTCTGCCCAGAAGGATCTCTTACTACGTTTTAAGTCAGGAGCAACCGAGATTCAACCGGCATTAAGCTCATTAGGTTAATGAACCTTAAGCCAAACTGGCAACCCTGATGGGGGAGAGGCTCCAAACAATCCCAGACGCTAAACTCTCAATTCTTTAGAAGCTGGGGTTAGCAGAGGCATTTGCACAAGGCAACACGAGCAAAATATACAGATCAAAATTTTTACCAGTATTTTCTACGTGTGTAGCCTCTTATTTTGGTGCTTCGCGTTTAGGAACTCCCCACCGCTGGTGGGTTGCAGGTTGTGTCGTTGATTCTCTCCTGTTGGGGTCCTACTGGAACTGCAGCAGCAAAAAGGGTCCGTTAGCTCCATAAATACAAATACAAACTTACTCTTACTTTTCCTCGAGTACATGAAGAAATACAAGTATACACCCTGGTGCATACGCATATGCTCACATCCATGCTCCCCAGTACAGACGGCAGTGATGGGGTTTGCGTTTCAGTGGGAGAGTAGAAACCTCTCACATGCACTGGCCTCAAGACAATTTTGTCACTGCAAAAGAGAGCAGTGTCTGCAGCGAGCCTGCGCGTGTAGCGGAAAGGAGCAACAAAAGAGACAAACACACAATCACTAGGGGAGGTGCAGAAGTAGACACTCATTCAGACCCAAGTGATCTGCTACCTGCCCGACTGCTGGATATTCCATACAGTGCATGTACCGCAGTACGAGGTGATCGGCCAGCTTCAGGGTTTCATACTGTCTGCACACCACGGGATGTGCATGCGCTCAATCTTTTTCTGCTGCTTCTTCCGTCTTCAAATCGAGGAAATACGCATAAAATCGCTGTTTATGGTATTGCTGAAATGGCAACCTCAAAGCACTCCTAAGCACTAGGACGCAAGGCTTAAGAATGAACCATTGTTTGAACCACAAACGTTAAACGGTGTACCACAAACCCTAAAAAAGAGCCACGGTTCGTTGTCAGAGGTTTTACGTCTGACGGAGAAAAACAAAATACAGTCTAAATGAGACAAAACCAGAAAATAGCAGCTGCGTCAGCAGCAGCTAATGACGCTCCTTGTGCTGCTGTCATTTCTGCTAGGTGCTGTTGCGGCTTCGGTTGGTGTTGCTGCTCCTGAAGCTGCTGTTCCAGAAGGTGTCAGTTGTCCATGTCGACATCCTCTTCAGCGAATTCATTCGTTTGTGTGCTTTTTACAATCCCGAGTTCCTTGAGTTCCTTTTGCTGTTTTTCTGTTATGTCCTTGATGAGGGTTTTAATTTTCTTGTTGATTTCCCTCTTTTCTGCTGCTTCCTTCGGGAACTTTTTCCTCAGCTTCTTTCGACGCAGCTTCAACAATGCAATTTCGTGCTTCACAGCCTTCCTCTCAGCCGCGTGCCGCTGCAGAGACAACATCGAGGGTTTAAGGTTTAAGAGATGCAGAGTCACAAGATACTTTAGCTGCACACGTAGTACAGGGCTTAGCGGATGTATCAACAGCTAAACCCTAAACACTGGGGAGCATTATTTCCCTGCAGGCAACAGCCCTGCGGCCTAGGTTTAGCCTTTCGACAGACAACGAATAGAAAACACAGCAGCTCACCTTGAAGACGCTGTGGCTCGACGTGCTTCCATCGCCCTCCTCTCCATCCTGCAGGAAACCTTAAACACTAAACTACAAACCCTTACCCCTGATCTTTAAATCATGATAGTTGTGGGTTTGGACTCGATCAGGGCCCCCACTGGCGACTACCGGGCCCCTGGGGGCCCTAACCCTTTCCCCTTGACGCGAAGCCCTAAAGCGCTTCTCTATGGTTAAAATATAATGTTTTCTGCTAGCTCACCTTTGTTGCCGTTGTTTCTCCGTTTTTCCGGGGTTTGTCTTCGTCCATCGCATTCGCCTTCAGCCCGTCCTGCCGGCGGCCCTTGCGTTTGCGGGCCTTCGAGGCCTTCCCCATTCTCCAAACCCTAAACCCTAATCCCCGGAACCTCTAAAATACTCCGAACAAACTCAATTTGAAACAAGTGCTTATCTACAAGCACAGCTAATGCCAACAGCAAGGCCCCACGACGGATCGTCAGCCCCGTGAGAACGCAGTAGACCCTGGGCCTCTAAGCAACCGCCTCTCAGCCCCATACCCTGATATCCACATTTCTTTTGTTAATGTTGCTTTCCTCTGGAATGAACCCCTAAACCCTAAAAACTAAACGGTAAACCCCAATATCGACCGGTCGCGCCTAAACCCTTGCTTTGTTTGTCGCGTCGGGTTGACAGCTCCTTCTCCTTAGAGCCTCAAATGCTAAACCCTAAATTCTAAATCTTAAATATTACACTACCAAAGTTATTCTAACTCGACCCTACCTTCTAAAACCTACTCAAAACCCCAAACCCTAAACCGTCGACAGCTGTGCTCAAAACAAGTACTTGAAAGAAAGCGTAAGTCGGTTTCTCTTAAGAGAAACAACGCAAAGGATTCGGCGTCTCGGGCTGCTTATTATGTGGCGGGAGCCCGACACCCTAAACCCCAAACACTCGAGGCACCACTGCTTGAAGCTCTACTCCGGGTTGTCCACAACCATGGCTGCGCTATCACCTCCACCCTCAGCACTCTGCGCATGTACCGCAAAACCTAAACCCCAAATATTTGCTCCTCCATGCAGCAGGATAGCCACTTTCAGGGACAGTGGAGTAAAATTTTACACTATAAACCCTAAACCCTTTGGCTCTAACTCACCGTAAGGCGTTCCACGAGAGTTTGCAGCTCCTCATGGTTCAGCTCTGCGAAACATCCTCAAGCCCTAACCCCCCAAAACTAAATCTCTGTTTTTGGCGTGACGCACAATCCGTACTAAGCACAGTCTACACGTTCCAACTTGGTTGCATACAACTGCTCTAGACAAAACCCTAATTCCTTAAACCCTCACCGCGCCAGGGCTGTCCTCTCCCCACAATCCCGACACACAGGCAATCTGCGGTCAGCCTGAAAACAACAAAACATCTAAATTCCAAACGCTAAGCCCTTAGCGCGCCCTTGGACAGCCGCGGCGCTCTCTTCGCCTTACAGGCCGCGCGCTTGGTGCACAAAGAACCCTAAACCCTAGATCATTCGACTTTGCGCCCTACGTTTCCTATACTCACTCGGTGTCGGCAGCCATGGATGCCTTTAGAGCCTTAACAGCATGTAGAAGGAGATCATCCAACGTCGCTGCAGATACCATCCCAAATCACAAACACCAAATCCTAGCTCGCCGGTGCACTGCATGAAAATGTAAAGCAACTGCCAGAACACAGGGTTTAAGTGGCTGTCTATAGAATGAGGTATCCTTAAGTGTTTAGGGCTTTGGGCATACCAGCGGGGAACGTTTGAAAGTGCTTCTCAAGGTATGTCCTGGAAGCTTGCGACCGCGCACCAAACGCAATGGCCTGAATTGGAGCAAATCCACACTCGCTTGGTGCGCACAAAACCCTAAACCCTTAACATTCGAATATACGCCCTATTCCTAGACCCTAAACTCCAAATCCGCGGCGCTGCACGCAAGCCAGACGGTGGTTTCACGAATCGCCCTTGGGTGCAGCAGGGCGTTGTGGGTAGGCAGTCTGCTGTGTATGCAAGGGTTTAGGGTTTACGTTGTATTCAGAGTAGTTGCCAGAAGGACAGTTTTCAAAAAGACGAGGGCCCGAAGCGTCGCATCCAGCAATAAGCAGCCCCACACCATATGGCCTCTTCCCGCTGCGTTGTGTGTTGTTTTGGCACTCTGCAGCAAGACGTAAAATGGCGGTTGCGAGTTTATCACTGCGAGTTTATCATTAGGGTTTACGAAGGTTCAAGCTGACGGGGATCCACAGTCTACCCAGGGAACTCCGATCGGTAGAGCCAGGCGCGCAGCTCCCTTGCTGACGCTACAACTCCCTAAACCCTAAACCCTAGACCACCGCAGCTCACTGTCCGCCACAAGCAACGCCAATCTGGCAGCAGGCTTCTCCGTGTCGTAGGTGAACTTGTGTTGGAGACAGGCGTTTCTCATAATCTCGCACAGAACCTCTGCAAACCAGCCAAACCCCAAGACTCAAACCCGCACCTCAAATCCATGAATCGTTGTCCCGTCTCAGTCGAACGTGGCGAAAACTCTGCACATTCTAGGGGCTGCGGACTCTAACTTGCTTTCACGGAGGGCCACGGATTTATGGTTTTGGTCTAGCTAGCTCTGATTTCCAGCAAGGGTTTAGGGTTTACTAGCGTCCGCCGTGATGCCCGAGATTGCAACCCCGACATGATCGTCGATACAAAAGAGTTTTTGCTGATGTCCGGCCAACTTGGATGGGCTCTTCTTCAGAGAACACAAGACCTAAACGGACAGCAACGCCCAAATACGCTGCCCAGTAAACCCTACAAGCTAGACATGCCGTAGAGGGGCTCATCCCAGCGTCTGCACTCATCGGAGCCGTATGGTAGACAGAGTTGGAGCCTTTCATACTGTTAGTTCGAGGGTTTCTGCTGCTGATGCGCTGCCCAAGGATGGTCTAGGACTTATGGTTTAGGGCTTACCACGTAGGAGTCGGACTTAAGCCCCACGCAGCATGTGCCCTGGGTGACAGCCTGTTTTGCATACTCGACCTGAAAGACTCGGCCTTGGGGAGACCAAGTGATGCAGTCTGTGTCATACAAGTTGCGGTACATCTTCTCCTGTTGCTGCTGCTGGTTGTACGCTTGCTGGCCAGTAGCCGCATACAGAGACAGTGCTCCCGGTGTTGCTGCTCGCGTGCAGGCAGCAACTTCCGCTGTTCAAGATGACTAACAAGGCCCTATGCCTTCTTCTGCTGTTGTTTCTGCTGCAGCTCTGCTGCTGCTACAACTGCTGCAGTGGTGTTTCGCCGCTTCAGCTGCGACTCGTGTTGCTGCTGCCCAAGTTGTCACAGCAACAGATCTTCGTGCTCTTATTGTTGCTGTTGCTGTTGTAGCTGCTGCTGTGCTGTCTGCGCTCCGCCACGTCAACCGAGGGGGGGGGGGGCCGAACCCAAGTGTGCAGACACCGGAGGGTCTATGGTTTAGGGTTTGCTGCTAGGGGTTTAACCTCCACGCAGCTCAAAACGGAGTGTACACGGGAAAGGAAAGAGAAGATACTCTTCGCTTCAGAGTTTCTGCGCCAGCTGCTTGCGGCCGCTGCTGCTGCTGGAGCTGCTGCTAGGAGGCGGCAGCAGCAGCAGCAGCGTAGCGCCGGCTGCTGCAGCAGCAGCAGTGCCTTTTCCAGCTGCGGCGAGCGGGAGCAAAGGCGGCAGAAGAAACTCTGAAACTTTTCAGTTTATTTGTATTTATTAGGGTGACAATATTCGTCACCCTCGTGGCTTCCCAGAGCAGCAGCAGCAGTAGCGGCAACAATTCTTCTGAGGCAGGACAGGCAACAGCAGAGCAGCAGCGGAAATAATAATTTCTAGTCTTCTCCTACAGGTAACAGCGTTGTCTTGAGTCACCCCGGCTGCTGCTGCTGTCGCTGGTCGCAGACAGCAGAAGCAGCAGCAGCAGCAGCACCAGCGATGTATGCGACAGCGCAGGGACTCAGCAGGTTTTACGGTTCCGAACAAAGCAACTGCAGCAACGAGACAGTATACACTGCAGGTAGAGGCAGCAGAAGCAGCAGAAGCCAGCGGGAATTCGCTGTTTGCTGCGCAGCAGCAACAGCCGCAACTGCAGCAGCGGCAGCAGCATCAGCATCAGCAGCAACAGCAGGCGAAGCTGAAGCAGCAGTAGCAGCAACAGGAGCCTCAGGATAACCGAAGTAGCAGCAGCAGCAGTGGCTGCCTTCCAGCCAAAATGGGGCTCTTTAGGTCTGAGGTGCGACATGGCAAACCCTATGCTGCCGACCCAAAACTCTAAGTGATTGTGCATTGAAGAAGTGCGTTAGGTTTTCGGATTAGGGTTTATGGTTTAGGGTTTATTTTTTGTTTCTGTTTGCAGCCCATGCGGCTGGGCACGCTGGTGCTGCCTCAAGAGGGCGCGAGAGACTACATTGCGGCCATTGGCACCGCCGTAAAAGTACAGATTGAAGACGTGAGGGTCTAGGGTTTAGGGTTCGGCGTAGCCTTCCTAAAGCGGTTAAAGAGCCTAGGGTTTGCTGCTGCTGCTGTGGATCCCTGTAGAGCATCCGGAGAAAGGGCTGCACACCCCTAGCATCATTGTCAGCAGCGTGGTCATCATCGTCATCAGCAGCATCTGCAACAGCAGCAGCTGCAGCAGCAGCAGCAGCAGCAGGGTGGTGTGCATGCGTTTGTTTTGCAGATGAATGGCAACACTTTATCTCGAGGCTATCGGCGGCAGCTGCAGCGGCTGGAGGAGTTGGAGAGGATTTTGCGATATTTGATTGAGAAGATCGAAGCTATTTCGGGTGTCCGTTTAGCTCAAGTTGCGCAAGACCTGGATCGAGCATCAGACGCTGATGCAGCAGCAGCAGCAGCAGCTGTTTACAACGCTGTCAACGCGGACCACGCAGATGTGGAGGCAGCAGGAGGAGGCCGAGCAGCAGCAGCTGCTGCAGCAGAGAAGCCCCAAGTGTATGTACTCGACCGGGTGGAAGATATGCTAAACAAGGTGTACAAACAGTTCCTCCGATTCGAGAGAAACAACGAGGACCTTCTGAGAGAGAAGATCGCCGCCGTAAACCCTAAGCCCTAAAATTCATTCTTGTCTGTGCTGTTGCTGTTGCAGCGGTTGCTGTTGCTGTTGCCGTCCGTGCTGCGGTGAACGAGTTATCGGGCGACTCGCTGCTGCTGTTTGCTCTACTACTGCTGTCGTCGCTGTCGTTGTCGCTGCTGATGTGGACTCTTTCGTGTATCTAAGGGTCTGCTAATGATGTGCTTGCTGCCGCGGTGGCCCCCGCTGCCCCTGCCTGGTGCTGCTCTTGTCGGAATTGCTGCTGCTCCTGCTGTTTGCTGTGCTGCAGGAGGAGGAGCTGGCGGTGGTTTCCTTTGCTGCTTCGCAGTTGAGGTCTTCCCTTCGGTCCCCGTGGCGCCTTGATCCCGGGTCAGCAGCAGCAGCAGCTGCAGCAGCAGCAGCAGCTGCTGCTGAGGACGCTAAAATAGCAGCGACCAGCACCTGCAGCAGCAGCAACACGCTGCAGCAGCAGCAGCAGCAGCAGCAAATCAACACTCCCACCGCAGCAACCGCAGACCCTCACGCGCGGTACACAGCCACTGTTGCTGCTGCTGCTGCTGCTGCAACAGCTGCTGCTGCTGCTGATGGTCCTGCTGCTGGAGCGGGTTTACTCCTAGGTAGCTGATCCGCGGCTCTGGGGTTTAGGGTTTAGCGTCGACTTTTTAGAGGTTGGCGTGCATGGGTACGAACGGGATTTGGGGTGTACAGACAGATACACCTGTTGCGCTGTGTATGTGCAGCTCCTCTTCGGCACGCCGGCGGCGGCCAACTCAGCTGAACGGCAGCAATGGCAGCAGCAGCTGGCAAACGGATGTGCAGCAGCAAGAGAGGCAGCAAACATTCCCCTATTCCGCCTCAAGGAGGTTGCTCGGCGCCGGGGGTGTAGGGGGTTTAGACAATGCAGAGTTGAGCAGTTTAGTTTTTTCGTCTGTCGCTGGAGTTGTCGCTGCCAAAGATCAAGTAAACCCCGCAAGCCCTTATCAAGTGTTAGAGACGTACAAGCAGACGGACCTCGCCGATACTCAAGGCAGCTTTGCATGGGGGGCGCAGCTAACTTCTGATTTTCGGGGTTTAGGGTTGAGGGTCTGTGGCTTAGGGTTTAGGGGTTCTGCGCAGGAACGGTTCGCTCGTGCCATGTTTCGGTCTACACGTGGAAATGCTTTCACGCACTTCAAACGATTAGAGGAGGAAGAACTTTCAGTCTATGTAAATGCCGAACCTTACCTAAACCCTAAACTCTCGTATTTACAAGCATTGGGGCTGCGTATTTAGGTTATAGGAGCACAGCGGGAGGACGCAGAGCTACAGCACTTAGCATCTCGGCTTCAAGGTTTAGGGTTTTAGAGTGTGTTTTGTGTGTGTCTGCTCAGCCCCATGGGGAGGAGCCGAAGTCGCTGTTTGTCACTTACTTCCAGGGAGCGGCTACTGGGTCTGCTTTCATGGAAAAGGTAGAGCTTCAACCCTTGTAGACCCTAATTGTACACACAGATCGTTTGCAAGCCCTAGGCGTTCTTCTCTCAGAACACTTGTACACCTCATGCATTCCGGCATCACTCTGTTTACATTGCCCAGCACATTGGGTTTGGGTATAGTTAGGGTTTAGGGTTTCTGCCTGTGGTGCTAGGTGAAGTGCGTCTGTTCGGCTATGGGTGCGCGTACCTACAACTGGCCCCACAGCGGTGCGGAGGCGCAGCAGCGGCAGCAGCAGCTGCAGCAGCTTCTGCGAGACAAGGCAGCAGCAGCAGCAGCATACGAGCAATACTTCTTGAACGAAGTTGGGGTTTTTCTGGAGCCGGTTCCCGCGTCGAATCTTCCTCTGGTTCCAGCAGCAGCAGCAGCAGCGGCGGCAGCAGCAGCAGCGTCTGTGGGGGACCTGACGGCTGCCGAAGCCGCCGCCGCCGCAGCAGCAGCAGGCACTCGCAAAAGACCGCTGATAACGGAGCTGCAGCGCTTTGTTGCAAGGGAGCGAGCTGTATATACAACTCTTAATCTCTTTGCTTTATCGGATGCCACACTCCAGGCAGATTGTTGGTTCTTGGAGTCTGAGGAAGCAGCTCTTAGGAAAACACTAGCAAAAGTTGCAGCAGAAAAGGTAAGGTTTGGTGTTCATGCCTAACTGTTGGGGTATGGGGTTTAGGATTTAGGAACTCTCGTGCGACGGCTTAGGATTTAAGATTGACGGTTTGGGGCGTAGAGTTTAGAGTTTACTGGGCAGGGGTATACGGCTTGAATGTTTAGGGCTTAGGTTTTGGCCTAGTGTTTCGGCTTCATGGTTTGTGTGTTTGGTAGTCATTGTATGTTATTGGCGATGGTGTGGGTGTGGCCTCACGTGGGAAAAGGTTGTCTTGTCGAGGGTTTAGAATTCAGAGGGCCTAGGGTTTGGGGTTTGCGGTTGCTGTGTTTCAGAGCACATCCGCATTTTTGCTGGTGCATGCACCTCGGGGTTGCGCTTTGAGCGGCGCGCCGACGTGCTTCCCGCGCTGTTCTTTTATGTCTTCTTTCCAAAGTTTAGTAGATACTTACGGAGTGGCGCGTTACGGGGAAGCAAACCCTGCTTTGTTTGCTGCTGCAATTTTTCCCTTTCTCTTCGGGTTAATGTTTGGTGATGTCGGCCATGGTTTACTCCTCCTCCTGCTCGCCTGCGCGCTGCTTTTTGCCCACGCGAAGGGTTTTCTGTTTAATGATGAACTCCTCTCTATGCTTATGGACGCGAGGTGCGCAGGTTTTATGGTTTAGGGTTTATCTTACGTCTGGGGATTAGTTTAGGGTTAAAAGTTTTTTCTTTCAGTGCTTTTCAAATCGAGGTTTCCACGATTGACGGCCTACGCAATGTGTCTTTGGGTTTAGGGTAAAGGGTTGAGTTCAACCGTGGGTATTCTGCCTCCAGGCCCTACGCCGCAGTGGCTGCATGGGGGGAAAATATTCTTTAGGATTTATGGTTTGAGGGCGGTTTGCGTGTTTGCGTACAACTTTTGCGAATGCTGAGTCGTTTGGATTGTACGGTTTAGTTAATCCTAGCTCTGCTGGTGCTGACATCTTGGGTCTGTAAAACCTAAACGCTAAACTTCGAAGGTTGGATGGAGAGTTCCATGTGCTGCAGATATTTGATTTTGCTGATGTCTTTACACTCCATATATGCGGGGTTTATGTACAACGACGTCTTTAGCATGGGTTTAAACCTCTTTGGATCCCGATGGGTTTCTTCTTCTCCTGGGGGTTTAGGGCCTAAGGTTCCTGATCCTGAAGGCCCGTATCCTTTTGGGGTTGATCCTGCATGGAAAGGCGCATCTAACGAGCTTCTCTTCCTCAACTCTCTTAAAATGAAACTCGCTATACTTGTAAGACTCCCAGGAGCGGCTGCCTTTGCGGCTGCTACTGTTATTGCTATTCCTGCTGTTGTTGCTGCTGTTATTGGTGTTCCTGCTGCTGTTGCTGCTATTCCTGCTGCAGTAGCTATTGCTGCCGTTGTTCTTGCTGCTGCTGTTGTTGCTGTTGCTGCCGCTGGTGCTTTTTTGAGATGGCTTATTTGTATGTGGATTGTTTGTTGTTTTGATGTATGTATAGGTGGGCTTCGCGCACATGTCCTTAGGGCTGGTGCTGTCGGTGTTGAATGCCATTCACTTTCGTGACTGGATCGGTTTACTGCTGACAGCTTTGCCGCAGATTGTGTTTTTTGTCTCCTTTATTGGCTATTTGTGCTTTCTTATTGTTCTTAAGTGGGTTTCCCCAGCGAATGTGTACAATAAACCCTCCCTCATTGCTGTCATAATCGATTTCCTCCTTAAAACGGACTCAGACAAAAACAGAGAGCTTATCCTCTTCGATCAGCAAGCCCACGTACAACAGGTAGCCGCTAAACCCTCAACCCTAAAACCTGAACACCGTTGACCACCGATCGTGCCGACAGAATTGTAGACCGTTATAAGGATGAAACACTCTCTGCTCGAGGATTTCAGCTGCTGCTGCTGTTTCTCTGTTGCTGCTACTGTTGTTGCCAGGTGCTGCGATCGGTGTTGCTGTTGTGCCTCCCGATTATGTTTTTTGGAAAGCCATTGGTGGAGCTGTACATACACCGAAAGCGACAGCCTCCCCACGGGTTCCAGTCGTTAAACAGCCTGGATTCAAGTGCGATTCAGCTGCAGCCACTGCAGCAGCAGCAGCACTACCACCACCAGCACCAGAACCAGTACGTACCTTTTGCTGCGTCGGCGAGCGGCGGCGAGACGGGCGTCATCCGTTCATCATCAGGAGCATCATCATCAGCAACAACTGCAACAGGAGCTGTAGGAGGACCAGGAGCAACAGGAGAAGAAGAAACAGACTTAACGGAGTTGTGGCTGCACAATATTATTGAAGCCATTGAGTTTGTACTCGGCAGCATCAGCAACACGGCCTCTTACTTAAGGCTGTGGGCTCTTTCTCTAGCACATCAACAACTCTCCACCATCTTTTTCGAAAAGACTGTTGGATTAGCCTTCACTCCAGGACAGTCGATACACCAAATGGCTTTCAAGGTACACGCACCACAATCCACAACTCTAGCTAGATAGCTGGCTAGCTCACACACTAGCGAGCCAGCAGTCGAGTCAGATAGCAATTTCTCCAGCTAGCGCACTAGCTATCAACCAATTTACTTGGCTATCTGCAGCATCTGTAGCTCGGTTGCCAACTCATTGGGTAGCAAGCTACCTTCTAGCCCTCCACCGTACTGGCACTCCACTGTCTGACAGAGGGTGTTCTGCAGGAGTTTTGAAGGTTGGTGTTGCTTTATTTGTTTTGCCTTCGTTTGTTGTTGGCTGCCTCTTCAGCTGGTTGTGGCTTTCCCAATCTTCCTGTGTATTACCGTCTTCGTGATGGTTGCAATGGAGGCCCTCGAATGTTTCCTCCACGCCCTTAGGCTGCAATGGTGAGGATTTAGGGTTTAGTGCTGAGGAGGGTTTTGCTGCAGCCAACTGGGCTAGGCCCAAATGTGCAGGGTCGCTCCTTTTTTGGGGCTTCTAGGGTTTAAGGTTTAGGGTGTAGGGTTTTGGCGTTCAGGGTGGAGTTTCAAAACAAATTTTACAAGGGCGACGGAGTGCCTTTCAGGCCTTTAGATTTGAACAGCCTGCCAGGGGACTCTATGGGCTAACTGGGTAGCTATCTAGCTAGCCATCTTGCTAACTATATGGCTAACTATATGGTTAGCTATCTGGCTAGTTACCTAACTAGCCGGCTAGCTACTGTGGCACGGAAGTTGAGGAGCCAGCTTGCTAACTCCATGGATGTTTGGCTAGCTAGTTGACGAGCTAGCTGCCTACATGTTCCGCTAGTTATCCAGCTAGCCAGACAGCTAGCTGTGCACTTGTCCAGCAAGCTGGCTGGACTGCTTAGTTTTGCAGTAAGCAGAAGCCACCGCCGCGAAGGCAGGCAGCTGGCAACGCAGCTGCTGCTCGCTAGCTAGCTAGCTAGCTCGCTAGCTAGTTGAGCTAGCTAGGACTTGTTTGTATCGCTGTGCTTCCGTCCCCTGTAGGGAGGGGAGCGCAAACTAGAGACAAATCTGTCCCTTTCGTTTTTTGCCCTTTTTTGCGTATACGATGGTGTATTGCTGCCTACCCAGCTGCCCTTCTTTGTTGCTGACTTGCTGGTTCCCTTTTGCTTATCTCCGTGCGTTTTGAGGGTTTAGGAGGGTTTCTCCCCTCTTCCATCGCTCTGTCGACGTATCTCGCTTGCTGCACCTATGCATCTGTACGGCTTTGTACTTATTTATATTGGCCTTTGCAGGATTTCGTATCTTTGCCTTCTACGTTTGCACTGTTCAAGCACCTGCGGATCCTGAGATAGCTTATCTGGCTAGGTCGCTAGTTAGCCAGCTGCCCGGGCACTGCAAGAGGTTGATGTTTGTTTCGGCGATAACTCCTCGTCTAGCGGCAAGCCATTCCATTTGGCTCCAACCACTTGTGTACTTGTATGCATTGCTATTTGTATTGACAATTATCCCTGTACGTTTTCGGTCGTATCAACCTACCTTTGTTTTAGAGTCTACTTTGTGCGTATCTACTGTTTCTCTTGTAGTAGTTCAGGTTTGGTCATAGGTTTGTTTCATTTTAACAAACATTTGAAAATGGAAATCTATGTGCTTGTATTCAAGCATTTATATGCATGTGTACTTGTATGTACTTCCTCCATCAGTGGCGGTTGTCAAAGGGTTTGCTTCGGACCCTGGCCAGCTAAGGTGTTGTATAGGGGCTTGTGAAACATCAGAAGAGTCTGCATTTGCTCATCCATCCGTTTATTCAATTATTTTACCTTCAACTACGTTTAAAAGCCCTGTTTTGTTGGGGTGTGCGCTTGTTAGGAGAGGTACACCGAGGCGTCGGCAGCAGTCGAGAGAAACCTCATGCAAATACCTCCAATACCGCAAATACCTCTTTAGAAGCGTACCGCGAGAAACTCGCATTTCACTTAAAGGCTTTTAAGGTGTATGATTTAAGGCTTAGGGTTTAGGGTTTGCATTAAGGGTTCAGTTGGTGGGGGGTTGGAAGAGCCCCACAAAGGTTGTCGCGCTTTTCCGAGTTAGGGTTTAGGGTTTGGATTGGGCAGGCAAGAGGGGTTTAAAGGTTTTTTCGCCTGTTAATTGACATTTTTACCATTAAAAACGCTTAAATACTTTAGTCTATTTTTGGTTTTTGCTGCAAGCAAGTAACCCTCCAGACTACCCGGCTGGGCTAGCCGTGCCGCAACAGGGAGCGCTCTGCAGTGGTGGTTGTTAGGGGTTTAGCGCATAGGGTTTAGGGAGGAATTGTTTAAAATGGAGACATTTGGGGCCACCCATATGCAGGCACTGGCTGACCTGCTGTGTCCAGACGCCGAAGAGAACAGCAATTTAGGGGAACCCCAGGCGGCGTCAGCACAAGGAAAACAGACAGAAAAATATAAGAGCAAAGCAAAACCTAACTTTAAAGTGAAGACGAAGGTCAGCAGATAGAAGCATGAAAATATAGTCTAGTTATGGAGCATTCAGACTTCAGCTTCCTCTTAGGGCTCAGGCGTTAGAGTTCAGGTGTTAGGCTTCAGGGTTTAGGGTTTCGCAGGTCGGAAAGAAAGAAGAGTTTGAAATTTGGAGTGAAAAAGAACTTGTTGAGGGTGCAACGTTTAAACAGCTGAAGGACAACCGCATGGAACCTAAGTATGAGGTAAACCCCATACCGTAAAGCCGATGTTCGGCTACACCAACCGCAACAGCGGTTTTCTCCGCGGAGGCTTCACGGGGCCTCTTCTTGTGTAGACGAAGGGGGGCACTAAGAAAACCCTATATCATCGGGGGTTTGCCTTCTTAGGTGTTGTTTTCTCAAAGTGTGGGCGCTGAAGATGTCTACTTGGGCCTTAGTGACAAAGACCCTACCACTGACCACTGCGAGACTCTGCTGATTAAAGTAAACATTAGACCCTAAACCCTCAAATATCTATACGTAAGCACTAAGGTGTAAGAACCCGAGCGTGTTGTTGGCGTGTGAGGGTAAACTGCTGCTGCAAAGAAGAAGAAGCTCCTCAAGAGAACACACACATAGGCTCTAGGGTTTAGGTACTCAGCCCCGATGAAACGAAGGCGACTACCGTGTATGGTTTAGCGCTGATCGTTGGTCTTCAGGTGTACCTCCCGGAGACGTCCTATTCTCAAATATCTCTAGAGGCAGGTCAAAGAACCCTAAACCCTAAACCCTCGACACCTGAACGAAGCGTTTAGGGTTTAGAGTTTCGTGTTTTGGTTTTGAGCAGACCCTGGAAGAGCGCGTGGTTGTGGACTCCCCTCGCTACCGACTGAATCTGCCGCTGCCTTATGCAGGTTAGCGCAAAGCCTAAGCCCTAAATCCTGAATCGACAATAAACTCACAGACGAAGGCATACAATCAAATAAAAAATTGCCAAGCGAGCAAGCAAACAAATAGTTAGACGACGAACAGCGTGTTTGATGTGCCGCCGCAGTGGAGTCTGAGAAGGGCACTGGCAAGTGGCTGTCCGCAACAAATTGCCTTGTCTTGAGAGTGAGTCCTCACGAAACCCTAAACCCTTACCCTTCAAAAGATGGGGCGATAGTAAAGGCAAGCATAGTTTACTGGCGGCGCCTTGTGGAGTTGGTTGGTCTCATCCTCTAGGGTCTACAGTCTACTACGATTTAACCTTTCCCCTCACTCTCACCTGATTTTAGCGGTCAGGGACTGCAAAACCTCAACTAGGGTTAGGGGTTTACACCCCAATCTTACGGGTTTCGCCGTGCGATTGTTGGCTTTTCAGCTGCCTATTAAGCGGAAAATTGAGTACGTCCACTTCTAGGTTGAGCAACGAGTTTGTTAGCTACTTAGCTAGTTAGCTGGGCAGCTAGCTGGTCAGTCAGCTCGCTAGACAGCTAACTGGCTAGCTGAGGGAAGATCTATTCGGCTCTGGAAGATCCACAGAAAGTGCCGAGCTGCACGAGGTGGCTTCGAAAGGGGAAAACCTCCATTGCCTAGGCCCTAAACCCTAAGCCGTCAACCCTAAACCCTAGTACATTCAGCTCAGCTCTGCACCCGCCGACTCTTCGACTGCAGCTCCCTCTAGGAAAACGACTTCGCATTCTTAAGAACCGGCTTGGGGAGAGCAGCCCTAAACCATAAACCCTAAATCCTAACCCCTCGGAGACGCCCCAAAAGGAAAAACAATGTTCCGTCTTCCCTCAACCGCTGCTGCTCGAAGATCTGCCGCTTTTTGCGCAGTACCAGCAGCGAAGGCAACAACTGCTGCTACTGCTGCTGCTGCATATGCTGCACTTGGTTTGAAACACGTGCCATCTGCATTTACTGCTATTGGCTGCGTTATTGTTGCTGCGGTGTATGTACACCTAGCAGCGGACAGCCACTGGCGAGGTGCGAATACACCGTAAACCTTCAACCCGCCGTCCTCCACCACAACTCTCTCCTTCCAAGTTGGGGAGGAAAAGAAGCAGTAAATGAAATAAATAAATAAAGAACCGCTTGGCGGCATTTGTGCTCTCTACACCACGAATTGTGCATGCATACATAATAATGCTGTCTGTACACCCCGTAGAAGCGGAAGAAGCAAAAGGGAATGCGACAATCACCACTCTAAAGAAGAAAACAGAAAGAAAGACCCTCCCTGCAACCTCCAACGCATTGCCAATATGCAGAAAGAAGCAAATCCAAATTAAAACAGCAGCACAAAGACAGAAAAAGACACTTCGGTGTACAGACCCCACATAGTACCACCATCATCCATGCATGCATGCATGCGTGCGTGAATGCATGCATGCAAATGCCTCAAAAGGCGATACAGCTAAAGCCGCAAAAGTCATTAGAGGAACTCGGGTGTGTGCATATGTGTTCATCTCTCTTCCTCTATGGCTCCTCCTTAAACGCAACGATAAAACGGAGGAGGAGGAAGAATAGCTGTACCTATAAAAACCCTTCATAAACCCAAAGTAGCCAATGCCGCTGCTATCTCTGCAGCAGCTGCTCCGCATCTCTGCTGCTGTTGCTGTTGCTGCTGCTGCTGCTCCGGTCGAGGATGCATGCAAGTTTTCTTGGCTGCTGCAGCAACAACTAGCCCCAATCAACCCTCAACGTCACAAAAACTCTAGCAGCATCAGGCACTGCTCTGCAGTGTACGTACACCTCACGGGGAGCCGCAGATCAGCGGCAGCGATGTCCAAAGAGCTGCAGCAGCAGCTCCTTTGTAAGGGGCCTCAAGACGTCGGGGTTCAAACGGATCTACAACACAAGAGAAACACAATCACATCTTTCTTCTGCTCCTGCTACACTGGCAGCTCCCTGCTGGGGGGCAGTTTATGCTGCTGCTGCACAGCAGCAAAAGGAGACGGCAGTGATGCAGCAGTAAATACGGGCTAGACGGTAGACGAGGGAGTAACAACAATACAAGGAAGGCAAGATCAAACCAAACACCAACAGCACTATCACGAGGAGACAAGCCGATCCATCACAAAAAAGGAGACAATCCACCACAGCGCACAAAACGAGAGAAAGATATCAAGCCATATTGCCGTCTAGCTAGCCATACTCCCAGCTAGCTATCCCGCTAGCTAGCCACCCAGCTATCTATGTGGCTGGGCAGTAACGCGGAAAAACTAATATGGTCTGAATGGGAGACAGCAGAGAGGAAAAGACAAATATAGACACACACGAAAAAGACGAGAAAGACAGATGAAGGACCACTGGTTGACTACCAGCAGTACTCTAAACGGGGGCAATACGACGAAGTGACAAAGGCGAAAAGAAAAGGATACGACGAAAAGAATAGCACATCAGCAAGAACGGAAGAAATAGAGAATAGTAGACAGAAACAAGCCAAACAAGAGAATAAAAGGGAATAAAAGGGAGGGGTAAGAGAAGTACCTCCCTATCGTGTAGGGAAAGAAAGTCAAGAGAAAGTTCCTTAAGCTCAAATATGCCGAGGTGATCTGCAGCAGCCAAAAGTTGAACGGCCGATTGGAGGCACATGGCAGCCCTCAGCCGTTTAATGCAAAGCAACTTCAGCCGCTCGACGCAAACCTGCACATCAAGTACCACAACGGAAGAGAAATAAATACTAAGACTCAAAAGTAGTATGTATTCTCCGTGCACTTTTTGCATAATTATCCAATGGCTGTACAACGGTTTTCCTCGAATTTTTAAGAAAATACAACGGAAGAAAATCGTGAAATTCAAAGGAATTCTACACATATACACAGAGAATCAAAACAGTAGTGAAAAACAAAAGAATGAATAACAATACCAGAAAATGACCCGGTAGAAGCAACCCCAAATGCAAACCCCAAGCCCTAAGCTTCAAACCCTAAACCCTGGCAGCAAATATCCTAACGCTCCCGTCACAATTGAAATGCGAACTGCCGCCGCAGCGGGCCGTATTTCAGCATAAGCACAAGCAGCATTAACAGCAACAACAGCAACAACATGAACAGCAGCAACAACAGCAAATATACCCGTTCTGCTGCAACCATGAGCTCCACCAAGACAGGCCATGCGAGACCGGCGGGGAGGCAGTCAGTGTGCAAGTAGTCAAGCAGCGCCGCAAACACCTACACCGCAAACCGTAAGCCGCAAACCTTTTGCACATCTAAACGGTCAACGAAGAAGAAACCCCTTGAAGCAAAGAAGGCGGGAAACCTGAACCCTCAACCCTAGTCCAAAACACTAAACTGCAAACTCTCACTTCATGCCGAATGCCTTCGATTGGTATTGGTTTGTTCTCCCTGTCGTTAGCCTCTTTCAGACCTCCAAAAAAGAGGGCGCGGAAATGCTCTGACCTGCGGATACACCCTAAACCCTACACCCCAAACCCTGAACCCTAGACCCTGTACAACTCTACCAGCACCAAACCCTATACCCTAGACCCCAACACCCAGCGCAGAACGCGCCCTCGAGACGTTAAGCAACACCAGATCGCAAACCCTAGACCCTAAACCGTGCACAATAACAAAACCCTAGATAATCCCAAACGCTAGCGCGCTCAACTTTACCGACGGCCGCGAGCACTGGTTCATTCAAAGAAGCGCGCCTAGGGTCTAGTGTTTAGGGATTATACCTGCAGGCGAGGAGGGCCCTCGAAGAGTGCATAATCCTCCCCTCTACAATAAAGACAGCGTCAGAGAGGGGAGTAGGGGCTTGCAAGGAAAGGAGGTTAGTCAGTAAAGTTGAGGGGGGAGGAGAAAGAGGATCTGTTGATTCGAAACAACCGTAGATGAATTAAAGCCCTAAAATCCCTTTCCTGGTGTCTGGAAAAGATTTGCCTCTAAACCCTCATAGGATTTAGGGTTTAGTGTTTAGCACTCCAGGTGTACAAGCACCTCACCCAATGGAAAGCGGTAAAAGTCGCTCAACACCTCACGGCCATCGTAGCCACCGAAAACCACAAAATTATTCTTAAAAATTACACCAACCATTGAACTTCGCCCTGAGGGCAGCAGCCGTCCTCCGTCTATAAACCGCCACTCATAAGTCTCTGCAAACAAACCCAAAACCCTAAACCCTGAACCCTAAACAAACCCTAACAAAGCCCTAAACCATAAGCGCGAGGGCGGGAGTCGCACCCAAAGCCTCAAACCGCAAGGATTGTGCGAGCTGAAGCTTCGTTTGTCTGTTCACACGGTTGGTTGCCTGCAGTTCCCAACTTGGGGTTAAGGGTCTAGGGTTTACCGAGATCAAGTTCGTAGAAGTCGTTCAGCCGCTCCCTACCAGAGTAGCCCCCAAAAGCAAATAGTTTCCCGTCTTTGGCGCATGCAGCATGAAAGTAGCGAGCGGCCGGTCCTCCGCTGTGTTTGCTGCTGCTGCAACATATGCTACTGCTGCTGCCGCTGCTACTCCTACTACTGCTGCTGTAGGCTGTGTACGCTAGCGCACTGCAGCCGCAACCGCTGCTACTGCTGCTGTTGCTTCTGTTGCTGTTGCTGCTCGGGCTACGCCTCTGCTGCAGCTTCAGCGGCTGCACAGCAGCAGCAACCTCTTCATCATCCACTGCACCTGATGCAGCAGGGGGCCCCCAGCAGCAAAACTGCCCCGGTTGGGGGGCCCCCCTTGGTAGTCCGCTGTATGTCGTTATTACCGTCCATACTTCCGAGAGCAAGTCAAACCTGGCACAGACCACAAAACGCACACCCGAAACCCCAATCCCTACACTCTCCCTACACGGGTACAACGCCCCCTACACTACGCAGAGTATAGAGGGATCTATCGGGATTTAGGGTTTGGGGTCTATGGCCTAACCTGAATAGGTCGCTGAGGCGCTCGACCCCATTGTAGCCACCAAAAAGGAAAAGTCCTTGCTGTAGCGAACCACATAGCCCCCAATCACAAACCGTATACCCTAAACCCTCGACCCCACTAGGAGTGTTTATCAATGCTAGGGTTTAGGGCTCAGCAGTCTTGAGTAGATTTTTTATGTACAGTTGTCGCTGCCTAGAGTGTTCCTGTGCTGCTTCTCGTGTGAGGTGGGGCCCTGCAATGGGGTTTGAAAAATGCCGTTTAGGGTTCAGTTGGGGTTTAGGGTTTAGGGTTTGGCCGACTTCATGCATGGCAGATGCCGGACAACTACGGCCTGAGGGTATAAGACCCCTTTGCGATATGGGTGTCCATTTTAGGGTTTTAGGATCGAACTCATTTAAATCATTTAACCAATTTGTTCCGTCATAACCACCAAATAATAATATCGAGGGTTTTAATACATTCGCAGCAGCCACGTACCTAAGCATGCACACCAAACCCCAAACCTTAAACGGATTTAGACACATCCACACTCAAACCCACCAAGCCAACTCAGCCGAAACCTGCTCATGTAGTAAACCCCAAACCCTACACAATAAACCCCCACTGTCGAGTGGTGAGACGCCAACCACGCCATTATGGTTTAGCGTTTTGTGTTTATGGCTCACCCAAACCGCGGAGAGGGTTTCATTCCCCAGTGTGCAACCTCTGTCCACTCTTCTTTCTCTGCAGAGCGACAGCAAAACCTCAAAACCCCAGGACCTACATCGAAGTAAACACCTAGCTGCAATCCTCCACCTAAACCCTCGTAGAGCCTAACAAGCCCTAATAAACCCGAACACGACTAATCCAAGACCATACCACTAAGGCTCCCACTAGACCCTACACAGTCCTACACCCTAAACCCTAGACAATCATAAATGCGTTGCGTGTCAACGTAGAAAGCACGCAGAGTATGAAGCTTGTGGGTGCTCCGATGGCGGAGATGCCGCCAATACCTCCTCTCAAACCCTAAAATCTAAACCCAAAACCCCACAACCTAAACCCAAAACCCTGACCCTAAACCCCAAGCCCAAACGCCTAAAGCCCAAACCCAAAACCCAAAACCCTCACAAAATAGTTCGCCTACCCAGATCGAATGCGTGTAGATCATTAAGCCAGTGCGTTCCTGAGTAACCACCAAAGACAAACATCTTTTCCCCCAAAACCACCGCTCCGTTGCTCTCCCTCGGACTAGGACAGCCAGGTGCCTTTATCTCCCGCCAGCGAGATGTGCCTGAGCAAACCCTAAACCCTAAATCCTAAGACCTAGACCCCAAACCAACGAAAAAAGACCCGATTCCCAACGCTCTACACCAAACCCCAAAACAACAATCACGGCCACACAGTTTGGGTGAACGGACTACGGTTTAGGGTTCACGGGTATCTGGAGAACATGCTCGTGCAAACCCTAAATCCTAAACCCGGAAGCCTAGACCGTAAACCATGAATCCCTGGCTTTGCCACAGCGTGGTGGCGTGGTCTCCAATGTTCCAAACGATTCTGTCGTCTCCCCTGTGAAAACCTACACCATATGCTAGATAACAGTGGCTTAGGGTTTAGGGTTTAGGGTTTAGAGTTTACAAAAATCGAACTTGAAGAGGTTGCCCAAACGCGACAAACCCCCATAACCCCCAAAGACAAAAAGGCTATTCTTGTAGACGCAAGAAGCAGCGCCGCTGCGTCTCTCTGGACGCAAGCTGCCCACAACCTGCAGAAGCAGCGAAAGGAGCAACAGCAGCAACAGGATAATTAGCAGCAGCTGTTGCAACAGCTGTTGCAACAGGAGAATTAGCAGCAGCAGAAGCCGCAAAGCGGGAAAAACAATATTGAAGCACAGTCGTGCCTAGCCAAGACACCAGCAACACCAGATGCAACAACTGCCGCAGCAAGTCTACTTTCAAGCTTCAAGCCACTGAACCCGTTGCTGCTGTTGCTACTGCCACTGCAGCAGCAGCAGGAGTTGGTACCTACCTCGATTGCCTCCCAACCGCGGCCGTTAGCTGCTGGCCATGGAAGACGAGCTTTTAATGGAGGGCCTCCTGCTGCTGCATCTGTGCCTTGGTGATGGTGTATGTCATGCTGCAGGTCTTGCTGCTGCTGTTGCAGCTGCTGCTGTTGAAGCAGCTGCTGCAGCTCGTGGTCATGCTGTTGGTGTTGTTGTTGTTGTTGTTGTTGTGGTTGTGGTTGTTGTTCTTGTTGTTGTGGTGGTTGTTGTGGTTGTTGTTGTTGCTGCTGCTGCGGCTGCAACCAGTCCTCCTGCATCCACTCTTCTTGCTGGCTGTAGGTAAGTGAGCTCAGCTGCAGAGACACACAGGCGCGACGTTGCTGCTGCTGCTGCCGCTGTTGTCTCTGTTGTTGTGGTTGCTGCTGCTCGCTGCGCTGCTGCTGCTGCTTCGCTTGCCGCTGCTGCAGCAGCTGTGGTTGCTGCTGCTGGTTTTCGCCTTGCATCATGTATGGGTGTGGTGCTGCTTCTGCTTCTGCTGCTGCAACACAGATATGGTCCTGCTGCTGCCGACAAAAGCGGCACTGCTGGTGGCGGTTTGCTGCGAGTGGTTTGCTGCTGCTGCTGCTGCTGCAGCAGCAGCTACATACGTCCAAGTGTTGGGTCTTGAGGGTTTTAGTTGTGTGTAGTGCGATGGTAGTGCTTTGCTGCTGCAGCTGTACTGCTACTGCTATACTGCTGTTGCTGTTGCTGCTTCTGCTGCGGCTGTTGTAGCAGCAGCACCAGTGGGCAGCTTGGCTGCTGCTGCGCCTCTGCTGTATCCAGGAATGACCAGAATTTAAAGTTTAAAATTAAGGTTTAGGGTTTAGGGTTTAGGGTTTTGAGCATAGAATCCGGCAGGCACGCAGCTAGGGAGACTCAACACACGAAGATGCTCCCTGCGAGTTCGTGTCTAGCATAGACCGGACCTAAACCCTAAACCCTAAGCCCTAAACCCTCTCCTTCCCCATCCAGGTGCTGAAGATTCTCATATATTTGAGTTTAGGGTTGAAAATGACGTCGAGTGTTTAGGGTTTAGCGCCGAGGGTTTGGGGTTTACGAAGCGACAGGGCGTCCAACGGTCTGGCGCCCGCCTCGCCAGGGGCTTCACAGCAGGGGTAGGGTTTGGACGAAACCCTAAGCCATAAACCATAATTTTTTAATGTAACCCATTTTTATTAGACTTTTCCTCCTATTAAGGCATTCTTTTGCACCTTCACACTAGGGGAACCTAAACCCTAACTAGTGGAGGTTAGCCTAAACCCTTCTTTCTATATGCCGAGGGGTTAGGATCTTATCTTCGCATGAATAGGGGGTGTAACTGACCAAAAAAGACATTAGAAAAGGTATTTATCTGTTTAATGTTTTTCATTTTTTTTACATCGAGGCATATTGAGTGAAAAAGCGCAAACACTAGCAGCAGCAGCAGCAGGGGAAGCTGCCTAGCACAACGTGCCTTCTTGCTTTAACAAAATGTAAGAAACTAAACCCTAAACCCTATACAAAACCCTTTCTTTGGTGTAAGTGCAGACACCATAGATAGCTGCTAAAAGCTCCCTGCTTCGGCACAGTTCGTCTGCGTAAACTAGAATTTAGGGTTTAGCGCCTTCTCGCTTAGATAGACGGGAAAAATCCAGCACGCAGCTCTGCTTGCTAAAGGCCGAAGGCTAGGGTTTATCAAGGGTTTATGATTTCACGATCCTAAACCCTTAGGGACCTTCCAGTGTATAGACAGGGAAACCCACGGACTAGACCCTTCACCCCCTCCTTGAAGGAGCGCGTCTCTGCTAGACCCAAAACCTCAGGAGCGCGTCTCCCCCAAAACCTAAACCCTAAACCATAAACCCTATGCAAACCATCACAATACAGCCCCAAATGCATGCACGGAGAAAGAAACCTTTGCTTCACGCATGCAGTAACTACAGAAAAGATTGCTACAACGTGAGACACATCCAACAATTTTAACCCTAAGCCCTAACCTAAGCCCTTAGCTTTTCCAATGCCCTATAGCTGCAGCAGGAGGTGGGGACGCCTACGGGTTTCTAAACCCCTAATCAGAGCTTAGGGTATTAGGGATTAGGGTTAAGCTCTGCTGCTGCCCGCCAAGACATCTGCCTCGTGCGCCCAACCTAAGCCCTCAACGCTTATCATGCGCCTCGAATTCAGCAGCCCAAGCCGCAGTCGCTACACTTAGACCTAACCAGGAGGAAACCCTAGACACTAGACCCTAAACCCTATACTCCGCTTCGGCTTCGCTTGAATGCGCTATACGCAATACATGAATATCCTACCCTTTTGCCTCTAAAAAAAATCCCCAAACCCTACGATATGCTACTTCAAAAAAAGACATTCACCGTGGTAAAAGGAGACAAGTTTCAATGTTTCCCCAACTGCCTAGGGTTTAGACAATGGTTTAGGGTTTAGATGAGGGTTTAGGGGCTAGACGAGGGTTTAGGGTTTAGACAAGGCTCATGTTGTGCTTTGTCACATCAACAATGCGCTTCCCGCACATCCAGCAGCGGCCGTTCTTATGAGCGCTGCAAAGAAAAAAAAACAAACCCTAAACCCTAAACCCTAAACCATAATTTTCCTGCAGCGTACACTCTAAACCCACAGTCACAGCCTAAACCATCAACCATAAACCCTAAAACTTACCAGGGGGCGCAGTACTTTCCCTTCATGTGCAGCGCGGTTTTGCATATCTTGCACTTAGACCCCACAATTACAATCCTGAGGAAAGCAAACCCTAGACCCTAAACCCTAAAAGCTAAACACTAACCTCTGAAGGTCAGGTTCAACAACGCTGCAACAGTTCCTTTTAATGCAGTATGAGCAGGAGCTACCCAGACCCTAAACCCTCAACCTTCCCTACACAGTAGCCGCCAAACCCTTAACCCTAAACCCTAACCCACTTACTTGTCTTTTTTTGTCGCCTTTTCAATGAGTTTGTTGACGCCGACTATGCGCTTTGATCCTGATATACAGACAGCAGCAAAGACCCTCAAACCCTAAATCCTAGACACTAAACCCTAAACCCTAACAGCACCAAAAGCCAGGCCCTCGTGCGAAACCGTGACCACATATGCTTCACAACGAGGAAGAACACAAACCCTAACCCCCAAACCCTAAACCCTCACCTTCCTTAACGTCGGGCGTCACGAGTTTGGTGAACTTCGCTTCGCACTTTTCACAGGGCATGGCGAAAGACAGCAAACCCTAAACCCTAAACCATAAAACCTAAACCCTAGACCCTGAAGTACCAGGGACCAACTCCCCCTCCGGGGGTACAAACGCCTAATTGGCGTTGAAGCGAGAGGAAAACAAGAGGGGGGCACAAAGCCCTAAAACCTAAACCCTAAACCCTAAACGCTCAGTTAAGGGTTTGTAGTTTGCGTTCTTCAGCAGGTGTAAGTTCGATCCTGCGGCAGAAGGCGGTGGACAGAAGAACCTAGAATCCGGATCTGTAAACCCTAGAAAACCCTAAACCCTGAACCCTGTGCCCGCGGTGGGCCCCGGCCTGCTGAGGGCAAAGGAGCGATGAGGGCAGCGTGAGGGTTTCTTTGTAGTACTACAGAATGTTTGCTGTTGTTTGTATGTTTAAAAAACGAATTATTGAATAAGAAGGAAATAAAAAGACAAAGTAGACATCTTCTTTTGCTGCTGCAAGAGGGCACAATAAGAGGAGGGCCCCTGAAGCTGTTGGCTGCCGTTGTTGCTGCTGCTGCTGTAGCTGCTGCAGCTGCAGGGCTCGCTGGAAGGCCGTTGTATCTGTTTGAGTTGTTTCCGATTGAATATTTTGTTGATTTAAAAAGAAAAGGTTTATTTTTTGTCATTTATATTTGTAGTAGACGACAGCAGCAAGAGGAAGAGCTGCGTATACACAGCAAGTGCGTGACACCGGCAGCCGACGGTAAGAGAGGGAAGCAGCGCGGGCTCAGCGCATCTAATATTCATCATTTTTGTATATTTAATTATTTTTTATTTAATTCTTTTAAAAGTTCTTCTTTTTCTCTTTTTGATTTTTCTTTTCTTACCCTCCTGACTGCAACAGCAGCACATTTGCCTCTTTCACAGCGCAACCGTGTGTTGTGCATTGCTGCTGCTGCTGCTGCTGCTGCTGCACGTCTGCTGCGGTGTATGTCCATACACCTCATCATTTATTTTCTCCTCTCTTTCTTGTTGTTGCGGCAGAGTCATCACTGTTCATATATTCTTTGCTGTGCCGGTGGTAGCTGCTCGCCCCGTGCGTGCAGCAACATCAACAGCAGCAACAGCGGCAGCAACAGCGGCAGCAACAGCGGCAGCAACAGCAGCAGCAGCATTAGCTGCTGCTCCCCCGCCTCCTAATACATAATATGCAACATACATATATCCCATTACTGCCTCTCCCCGTGTGCGTTGTTTCTTCCTGCCTGCATGCAGAAAAACTGTGTAAAACCCCAATAACCCTAATAACCACAACAACAACATCAGCAGCAGCAACAGGAGCAGGAGCATCAGCAGGAGCATCAGCAGCAAGATGCAGCGTGCATCGGGTCGTCCGACATCCTCTCCAGCAATTCGTCGTCGTATAGAGCGTCCTGGTTTAACCTCTGAGGAAATAGAGGAGGTCCGTGAGGCCTTTTCTTTATTTGATACAGAAGGTAATGGTACTGTAGACCCTAAAGAATTAAAGGCGGCTATGCAGTCATTAGGGTTTGAGCATAAAAACCCTTCTGTATACCAAATGATTGCTGAATTAGATAAAGATGGAGGAGGACCTGTAGACTTTGAAGAATTCCTTGATGCTATTACTGCTAAACTTGTACGGAACAAACCCTAAACCCTAAACCCTAAACATTAATTTTTAAATTTTTATATACGATTGGGGCGGGCTTGGTTTATGATGAAGGGGCAGCAAGGAAGGTTAGATGGTTTCGTGAGGGTTTAGGGTTTGGGAAGAAGGGGTTGTTGTTTACGGGGAGGGTTTCGAGGGTTTGAGGGATTTTATGTTAGGGCTCGGGGTTGTGGTGAGGGTTTATCTATGATCTGTGCCTTTTGTGAGGGTTTAGGATCTGTGAATAGTGTGGTAGTGCAGTGTAGGGTCTACTAGTACACTGAGAGTTTAGGGTTTGGGACTTCCAGGAGGGTGTCGAGGGTTTAGTATTTGCAGGAGGGTTTAGAGTATATGATTACGACTTGTGTGAGGGTTTAGGGTTTAGGATTACTCTTTGTATGAGGGTTTAGTGTCTACGCCCTGTATGACGGCATTCCGTGAGACTTTAGTAGGGTTTGGTCTTCTCATGAGTGTTTAGGGTTTAGGGTTTGTGCTTATGTATTGTATAGGGTGACAAGGAGAGTCGTGAGGGTATACAGAAGATATTTAATTTATTTGATGATGATAAGACTGGTTCAATAACCCTAAAAAACCTAAAAAGGGTTTCTCGTGAATTAGGGGAAAGTTTAACAGAGGAGGAATTGAGGGAAATGTTAGAGAGGGCGGACTCTAATGGTGATGGGGAGATTTCCTTTGAGGACTTTTATGCTATTATGACCAAGAAGGCTTTCCCCTAAACCCTTATTGAGGGTTTACAAGGGATTTATGCCGTGTCTAAACCCTAATCTACCAACAAACCCAAGAAAATGCGGCTTCGGTCTTATTAGGGTTTACTAGGGTCTATTAGGGTTTAGGGTTTTGGCAAAAAGGTACACACATTAGTCGACTGCATGCTTGTCAACCCCAGGGATAGCAGGTCGAGGGTTTAGGGTTTACGGGAGGAGGGAGAGGGTTTGGGGTTCGCACTTTCCGTTACGGGAGGAGGCAAGACGGTTTAGGGTTTCAATATTCGCCACTAGGGATTTTGCGCATTCCCTTAAAAACGGCTTAATGGCCTTCGCTTTGCGGTGCAGCAGCAACTGCTGCTGCTGTTGCTGCTGCCGCTGCTGTTGCAGCAGCAGCAGGAAATAACTGCTTTAGCGGAATGCTTTTTGTTTGTTGTGTAGCGACGCCCCCAGCTAGCCAAAGTGCTAACAACACCCACATGCCCACTGAGCTAGCCAGCTAGCTAGCTAGCTAGCCAATTACTTAGCTATTTAGCTAACTAGCCTGCCCGTGAGGGGTGAAGACACGCTCGGTAGCGTGCGTAGGGGAGGACCACCTGCGGATACCTAGCTGGACAGCTAGCTAACTAGTCAGCTAGCTACGCGGATGGCTAGCTAGCTTAATGGGTAGCTGACTAGCTAGCCATTTCCCCAGCTAGCTAACTAGCCACGCGTCCCTCGTGTAACCAGTAGGTTAGTGTAGCCATAGGCCAGAAGGACAAGTAACGCCGAACAGCAGAGTAGGCAGCAAAACCCTAGAACCCTAGGAACTGCGGCCAAACCCCAGTTTAGGGTTTAGGGTTCATAGGGGGAGGACCACAGCCGCCAACGTTAGCGGGGGTAGCAGTGAAGGCTGCAACACGCACAAAAGAAGGGTTTAGGGTCTGTAGAGAGGGCCCGTCTATATCGCAGTGTATGAAGCTTCCTGGATAGGGTTTAGGGTGTATTCTCGTGGCTACAGCTACTTCTAGGGTTAAGGGTTTAGAATTTAGGTGTACTTACACTCCAGACCCTCGCTGCACTGCACATGCAGGCAGCGACCATCAGGGAGAGCAGCAAACCCTCGACTTCCAATCCGACGGGCACATTGAGGACAGGCTCTGCACCCACATCACAAACCCTAAACCCTAAACCGTTGAGAGCGAAGGAGGCGAGCCGAGTGCTTTGTGCCTGCGGGGAGCTGAGATTTCGTGAGACTAGGGTTTAGGGTTTAGGGTTTACGTTTCTTGGTTGATTTCGATCCATTTGCTTTTCTCTGCTGCTACTTGCGTGTAGACATTAAGATAATCCGCGCTGCAGAGTTTCTCATGAACAGCAGCAGCAGCAGAAGCATTTTGCTGCTGCTGCAGAGACACACGAATAAAAGAAGACAGCTGCTGCAGCAGCAGATTACCAGGCAGTAAATTAAACACCGCCCTTAAAGGAAAAGCACCGGAAGCAGCATGCCGCTGCAGCAGCAGCAACGCGTTCTGCAAGTAAAAATCTGCTGCTGCAGTTGCTGCTGCCGCTGCTCCACTTGGTGGTGGTGCTGCTGTTGCCGCTGTTGTCCCTGCCTCCCCGTTGGCTCCCGCTGCTGCAGCAGCAGGATCTCCCGATGCTGCTGTTGCTGTAGCTGCTGCTGCTGCGGCATCAGGGGTTGCTGGTGCTCTCCCATCTCCTGCTGAAGCACCTGCTGCTACTGCTGCTTCATCAGAGGCTTCACGCCAGCAATTGAGCAATACCTGCAGACGCCACCGCCAAAACCCTAAACCCTAAACCCTAAGCCTTTAACCCTAAACCCTAGACTACTGTAAAACACGAAAGGTGGAGGGTTTCTCACCTTAAGAAGAAGCAGCAGCAATCCGGCCGTTCGTTTGTTTGCTGCAGACGCAAAATACAAACCTCAAACCCTAGACCCTAAGCCCTATTACTCCAAAACCCTAAACCCTAGCAGGCGGGCTTGAGGACGTATGCTTTGAAGCTTCTTGATTGTGTGCTGTATCTGCATATTTCCGCCACATACCTCCGTAGCCCTGTTGCTGGTGCTGCTGCTGTTGCTGCTGCTGTTGCTGCTGCTGTTGCTGCTGCTGTTGCTGCGCCTCTGCAACGGGTATACACCATAGCCTATCGGTTTTCCTCATATCGTCGTATTCTTGCTGCGGCAGCTGCAGCAGCAGCGGAAGCAGCTGCTGCTCTGCTGCAGCACAATAGCGTTCTGCTGCTGCGACATCTTTCCTGTCCTTAACGAAGCACATCAGTGCTGCTCTGAGCATATGCACACATGCATGCATGCATGCATGCATGCAAGGGTTTGGGGTTTTATCTAGGTTAGGAGACCCCTCAGAAAAAAAATTAGGGTTTAGGGTTTAGGGTGTAGTTGCTCACTCGTGCTCCCCTGCCTTTCCGTAAAGAATCGCCTTCTCTTCAATCAAATCAGACCCTTCTACCTGCAGCAGCAGCAGCAGCAGCAACAGCAAAAGCAATGACAACACCAGCAACATGTGCAAGAGGAGAAAGATGAAGACGTAGCCATCCGATGCCGCCTACTGACAACACCATGCTTAGGGTTTAGGGTTTACCTTTTTTAGCAGGCTGGGTACATCATAGCTGCTTTGCTGCTGCAGGAAAGAGCAAAGCCTTTCCCTCAGTTCATGTGCTGCAGCAGCAGGTGCTGCTTCAGCTACTGCCGGTGTTGCTGCTGCTTCTCCTGCTGTTGCTGTTGTTGGTGCTGCTGCTTTTCCTTCTGCTGCTAGAGCTGAGCACAAACCACATATTAGGGTTTAGGGTTTAGGCTTGCTCATGCATGCTGTCGCCGTAGACCACAGGAGAGGGCTGCGCAACCACAAACCCTAAACCCTAAACCCCTACCTCTATCTATGTAGATAGATGCGAGCTCTGTCTCTATTTGGGGGTCATGCAGCAAACCCTCCAGCAGCAAATGTTCAAGGAAGGCCTCCCTCAGCTGCTGCTGCAGCTGCTGTTGCTGCGGCGGCAGCTGCTGCAGCAGCTGCAGCACCTCAGCAGCAGGAAGCGGGCAATATCCCTTTTGCATAAACAGGTCTATCGCTGCACACAACAAACCCTAAACCCTAAACCCCAAACCCTAAACTCCAAAGCGTAGATGATCGTCAGCCATACGAAATTCTATCGGCGGGCACAAATTTAGGGGTAAGGGTTTAGGGTTTAGGGTTTAAGGGTTCACTGCCGCACTCCTTTTAGGGTTTGCACGCAACACGAGAGGGGCAAACCGTCGCAGCAGGGATGCTGCCTGTTGCTGCTGTTGCTGTTGTTGCTCCTGCTGTTGCTGTTGCTGCTGCTGCTGCTGTTGCTGTTGCTGCTGTACCACCTGCTGCAGCAGTAGCAGCATTTGTTCCAGAGGGGGAATTGTTGTTTCTGTTTTTGAAGGAGAAGAGTTTGAATCTGCAGTGTACGTACACCCCACTGATTATTTATTTATTTATAATTATACTTATTTATATGCATGCATACAGACGAGGAGACAAAAAAGGAGGCAAATAAATAAAGAGACAAATAGGAGGCAAAGGAAATAAAAAGGAGACAAATAAAATAAAAAGGAGACAATTAATATCTTGCCTGTTTGGTGCTGCAGCAGCAGCTCCAATGCTTCTTCGGTTCTTCCTGACAGCTGCAGACAGACCCTCAATGCAACAAGGAGGCAACAAGGGTTTTCCTCAAGCCTAGGGTTTAGGCTTTTGGCTGCCGCCTGCATTTAGGGTTTGGGGTTTAATATGCCGCCTAGTCGTATGGGTTAGGGTTTGCGGTCTAGGGTTTACGAACCTGCAGGAGAGCCGCAAGTGCATCCGTGCGGCAGATGGACAACAAAAACAAACGGCAGTCTTCAACACTGCATGTACACCCTAAAAATTGTAGTTGCTGCTGCTGCTGCTGCTGCTGTTGCTGTTGCTGCTGCTGCTGTAGCAGCAGCGAATCGTGACGCGGCAGCAGCAGCTGCTGCCACCGAATGTCATCTGCCTCGACCTGCAGCACATACACATCAGGAACCCTAAACCCTAAACCCCAATCCACAGGCTAGGGTTTGGTGAATTCCAAAGGGTTTGATGGTTTAGGGCTTACAAGGAGTTTAACGAGGATTGTGTCGATGGCCTGCAGGAGCAACAGTTGTTTCTGCCTTCCTTCACTGGCTCCTGCAGCAGCAGCAGCTGCAGCAGCAGAGCAGCTGTCGCTGCTGCTGCTGCTGCTGCTGATACTAAATCTACAAAACCCATTATAGTCAGAGCGCAGCAGCTGCCGCTGCTTAAGGAGGAAAGAACAGAGGGCCCCGTTGGCCATCTGCACATACACCCCAAACCCTAAACCCTAGACCCTAGAAAGCCTGTGTTTTGAGCAGCAAGTATCAGCAGCAAGTATCAGCAGCAAGTATCACGCATCTGCTTTTAGGTAGGCAGCCTGCTGAACCTGCATTAGGGCTTAGGGTTTAAAAATTAGGGTTTAGGGTTTGAGTGTACCTCCACAAGGACTTGTTGCTTCGCGTTCAGCTGTCCGTCTGTTTCTGTCGGCTTTCGCCCCTTTACTATAATCTCCTTGACTGAGCAGAAACCCTAAACCCTAAACCCTAGATGGTAGGCCCGATTGAAGGAACCCTCGCACTGCATAAACCCTAGCGTCGTTAGCTCCTGAACGCCAAACCCTAAACCCTAAACCCTAGAGCTCACCGAAGTCAGGGAGCTCCTTGGGGGGGGGAAATATAGAGGGAGGATTATGAGTAAGAAGGTTTTCTGTTTCTTTCATTAGCGGCATTTGCAGCCATGATGGCCACATGCGACGCCAGAAAGCTGCAGCAAAAAACCCTAAACCCTAAACCCTAATTTTCCTGGGACAGCTGGAGGCAGACCGCGGCTCTTGTGTGGGAGGGTGTTCACATCCTGGGACGTCACGGCCTTTCCCTCGTAGACCTAGTGGACTTTTAGGGTTTCGGGCATTGGAATTAGGGTTTAGGGCTTATGGATTAGGGTTTAGGGTTTATACCAAGAAGATGACCCAAGTCAAGAGGCGCATGACAGAAATGTTGAAATGCCACGGGAAAATTCAAAGAAGAAAAACGACTCCAACCCGCCAACAAATGGAACTGCCCCAGAGCTTCAGCCTACACACAAACCCTAAACCCTAAACCCTAATCCCTAAACCCTAAACAATATTTATCCTATTTATCCTATTTATTCTATTTATCCTCAATGGGAAAGATGGGAATGTAGGAGGAAGTAAACCCTAGCACCTAAACCCTAAAGCTTGATTTTCCCATACAGTGAAAGAGCAGGGGGTTATTCCTCTCATGCAGGAGGAATTAGGGTTTAGGGTTTAGGGTTTACACGTCTGGGATCCGTTGAGGAGAAGGTGGCATTAAGCTGATCCAATGCATCAGCAACACGTCCAGCGAGCAGCAGTTGCCGTAACTGCACGCAACCCGTAAACCGCAAACCCCAAACCTCCAGACCCTAAACCCCAGACCCTAAACCCTAAACCCTAAACCCTAAATTTGGTTCTGCTGTTGGTGTGTTCGCTAAATACCTGGTGTTTAAAGGGGACGGGAAGGAGTATTTGGAGTGTATTGGCAGCTGCAACAAAGATAGGGTTTGTGTCTGAATGATTATTATCTAATTGAGGAAGATCAGCAGTAACAGCAGCAACAGCAGCAGCAACAGGAGAAGGAAGAGAAATAGATTGTAATGGAGATAAAGAAGAAGTCTTCCAATTACTTCCCCAAACACTTCCTCCAACCTCAAAGGCCAATAGATAAGGACCGCTACATGCTGCACACAAACACTCAATTAGGGTTTAGGGTTTAGAGGAAATCAATAGATAACTCAAAGGCCAATAGATAACGGCCGCTACATGCTCCATACAAGCACTCAATTAGGGTTTAGGGTTTAGAGGAAACCAACATATAGGGGCCGCTACATGCTACACATAAACACTCAATTAGGGTTTAGGGTTTAGACGAAACTACCAGATAAGGACCACTGCAGCAGCAGGATATGATGCAGCGGAAGCACGAGCACCAGCAGCAGGACAAGCAGCAGCATCAGCAGCACCAGAATAAGCAGCACCACCAGCAGCATCAGCACAATCAGCAGCAGAATCAGCAGCAGCAGCAGCAGGGTATCAGCAGCAGCAACAGCAGGATACCAGCAGCAGCAGTATTTGCTGGCAGCAGGAGGGAGTTTTTATTAGCTGGCAGCAAAGACTGCAGACAAAAGGCAATGCCTAATTGCTCCGGTCCTCCTAATAGTACTTGTTGGCTCTTATATATCCTGCATACTAAGCCGCTGCTGCTGCTGCTGCTGCCTGGTGCGGTGGAGGAGCTGGTCTTGCTGCTGCTGCTGCTGCTGCTACTGCTGCCACGGTCTAGTAGTTCCCGCCACATTCTGCGCACACATAGCAGCAGCAGCAGCAGCAAAGGAACAAGAATAAACCCTAAACCCTAAACCCTAAACCATAGTCTGTATATTGAAAGGGCAGAAAAACCATCACATTAGAAGACTTGTACGATGCGTCTCCTGCTGTCTCGGTGTTTAGGGTTTAGGGTTTAGGGTTTACCCTGTATTAGGGTCTGCAACAAGATAATCATGATTAGTGATGATAAGAAGTTTATTAAAAAAGAAGAATAAGTGTTTAATTTCTTTGTAGGGTTTAGTAATATTAAAGGAGAAATCCAAGAAAAAATCAAACCCTCGCTGCGTATACACCTCAATTAGGGTTTTTCTTCCTATAAATAAACGTGAGGGTTTAGATGTATCTATTATTTCTCCGGATTCTGCTGCTGCTGCTGCTGCTGCTTCTTGCTCCTCAGCACAGACACCGCAAACACCTGCAAACATAAACATAAACTATACCTGCAGTTGTTGCTTGCTGCTGCTGCTAATGCTGCTGCTGCTGTTGCTGCAGCAGGAGCAGCAAGAGAAAGACCAAGAGGCGCAGCAGGGGAAGCAGCAGCAAGAAAAAGAGGAGATAAACACAGAGATACAATGAGAGAAGAGAAAGATAGATAAATAAATAAAATAAATAAATAAAATAAATAAATGAATAAATAAAAGTATTGACTTACCTTTTGCTAGAACATGGCCAGCAGAAGAGAGGGAAAAAGGAAGAAGATACACACAGCCATCTGCAACAAGCACCAATAAACCCTAAACCCTAAACCCTAATCCGTAAATTTTAAACCCTAAACCCTTAATCCGAAGCCCTAGACATTGATCCCAGAAAACCACAAATCCTGAACCCTAAACCCTAAACCCTTGAGCAGGACCTTGTAAGACAGCTAGGAGGGAAATACTCTCCACAAAGGCAATGGTTTGCACGGGCTTCTTTGCTGGCAGTTGCATCTGGGCCTTTATTGTCGCCTTGGCCTGCATGCAAACCCTAAACCCTAAACCCTAAACCATCGCGCGGCAACAAAAACCACCGGACTCAAAACCCTCAACGTCGAACGGGAAAGGCAAAGACGCTGCTGCATGTAAAGGAGATTAGAAGTTAGGGTTTATGGTTTGTACTGCCTGAAACAGAAACAACTGGGGTTTAGGGTTTAGGGTTTAGCGTACCTCTCCTTCCTCCTCTTGCGGTAGCGACACCGCACAGTTAAATATTTTTCCATTTTCTGTCCCCAAGAAAACGGCAGAAGAACAAACCGCTAAAGAAGTAATTTTATCTTCTTTTGCTAGTTCTAATAAAGCAAACGCCGTAAAAGGATCCATCTTCGGGTTTCGGGTTTAGGGTTTGTGGTTTGGGGTTTATACGGAGGTCCGTAGGGCCAGAGGCGAGGAGGAGGCGAAATACGCCATGTATAAACCCTAAAATGAACCCTCGTACAAACTCGAAACCCTAATATACCATACTAAACCCTATCAAACCCTAAACCCTCAGGCGGGCAACCGCCAACCGCCGCAGCAGGCTGCAATGACCGCATCAAGCGATTGTAAACCATAAACACTAAACCCTAAACCCTAAACCACATAATATAAACCATAAACCCTCGTGTGTGTTAAGGGAGAAGGCTCAAAAATATACAAAGGACGGCTCCAGGCGTGTGAGTCCGTTAGAGGGGCCCCCCTGTGTCTGCTGGCAAACCCTAAACCCTAAACCCTAAACACTAAACCCTAGACAATGAACGTTAATTCTTCAGTAAAACAATTCACAACTTTGATAAAACAATTAGTAATACAAACGATAACCAACTCAAACCTTAAACCCTAAACCCTAGACGATCCACAGCCAAACGCCGAGCGCTCGGCCGACGACAAGTATGTAACAAACCCTAAACCCTAAACCCTAAATCCTGAGGCTAACTCCCCACATGTTAAGCACTTTTTGGGGTTTATTTTGCCACATGGCCCTTCTATCCCCATAATTTTGGACCCGTAAACCCTAAACCCTGGACGAGCCTGCCGTACGCTGGTGACCCCCCAAGCTGAACAACGTAAGCTCTAAACCCTAAACCCTAAACACTACAACCAATTGCTTTCCCCTGTCAGGTTTCCTCTACCAGACATGAAACCGTGCATCCAAGCCTCCTAAACCTAAACACTAAACCCTAAACACTACCCCCGAAATCCTAAACCCTAAACCCTCGGAACTCTGCCTTGCCCCCTCCTGAGAAGATTCAAGGAGAAGACCGAAGGAGGAGGAAGCACTAGCTACTAGCAGCAGACAAGCCAAAAATAGCCGTGGTTATCTACAGCCACCTACAGCTAGCCCCAGCCAGACCCGGCGAACTAGGCCTAGCCACTGATATACGAAACTAACCGTACCTAGCCCTACCTGGCAATCGATGGCCACAGCTAGTTACAGCTAGCTACAGGTCGCCACAGAACGCCACGGCTAGCCAAGAACAGCAGCAGGTAGCTAGCCTACCCCCTCTTTAAGGACCCCCAGCGCCAAGCCCTGTTTGCACGTATGCCCGCTGAACATCGGCGAGCATTCCTGTGGCTAGCTAGCTAGCTAGCTAGCCCTGCTATTTAGCCAGCTTACTCGCTAGCTGAGGTGCAACTATCTAGTTTCCCTGGCTTGCTAGCGTGTGAGATAGCTAGCCAGACAGCTGGGGGAGCGGTGCAACTGGAGGCGCCTGTTCTTAGCAACAGAGGGGGAGGGTAGGAGGAAGAAAAGGAGAGGAAAAACAAAATAAAAAAAGTGTTCAAACCCTAAACCCTAAATCGTAGAAGATGGGCATTGCGAGGCTCGAACTCGCGACCTTGGGATTATGAGACCCACGCGCTACCGACTGCGCTAAACGCCCGTGGTGGGGGCCCCCAAACCCTAAACCCTCAACCCTAAACCCTTGGGATAGGAAAGCAGATGGGAATTGAGAGGTTCGAACTCGAGACCTTGGGATTATCAGACCCACGCGCTACCTACTGCGCCAAATGCCCGGGCTGGCGCCACCAAACCCTAGACCCCCCAACCTTGCGCTGTAAACACTAAACCCTAGGTATAGCAAAAAGAAGATGGGCATTGCGAGGCTCGAACTCGCGACCTTGGGATTATGAGACCCACGCGCTACCGACTGCGCTAAACGCCCTTGGTCCGGGCCCGAAACCTTAAACCCTAAGCCCTAAACCCCTGGGATAGGAATGCAGATTGATTGAGAGGCTCGAACTGGCGACCTTGGGTTTATAGGTTTCTCCGACTCCCACGCCCTACCAACTGCTCTAAATCCCCTTAATGGCACCCCAAACCATCAGCCCGGAACCCTAAACCGTAAACACTGGAGGTATGTTAGAATAGTTGGGCACTACGAGACTCGTACTGGCGACCTTGGGTCTAGAGGTTGGACTGGCTCCCACGCGCTGCTGGCTGCGCTAAACGCTCTTGACGGGGCCTCCAAACCATCATTCCTAAACCCTGAACCCTAAATCTCAAACTCTATACCCTTGGGATGCCGAATAAAAATTGGGCGTTGCGAGGCTCGAACTCGCGACCTTGGGTTATAAGGTTTTTCTGATTCCCACGCGCTACCATCTGCGCCAAACGCCCTTAACAGGTTCAATGATCCCGTCATCCCTAAACCCTAAATTTTGAACACTAAACCCTAAACCCTAAACCCTAGAGTTATTGGAGAAGAGGTGGGCATTGCGAGGCTCGAACTCGCGACCTTGGGATTATGAGACCCACGCGCTACCGACTGCGCCAAATGCCCGGTTGGTCGGGCAGGCTGCTGATGCTGATTTGAAAACCCTAAACCCTAGACCTTAAATCCTAAATACTAAATCCTAATGGCTAAAGCATCACACCAGAGAGGTTAGCAGTAGGTGGAAGCGGATAGAAAGCAATAGCGACACATGTATACGCACAAGACTACGCCTGTGCAAGCGGTTCCAGAGTTGGAGGGTCTAAGGGTTTAGGGTTTAGGGTTCCGGTTTAGGGTTTAAGACACTGCAAAACAGGGAGATGGGCATTGCGAGGCTCGAACTCGCGACCTTGGGATTATGAGACCCACGCGCTACCGACTGCGCCAAATGCCCGATTGTTCGTGCTGCCTGCCGATGCTGATTTCTACACCCTTAACCCTAAAGCCTAAACCCTAGTCGCTAACACACCATACTGGAGAGGGTGGCAGTACGTGGAAACGGATAAAAGGCTATAGCTGCAGCAACACATGTACACACACAACACTACGCCCGTGCAAGCAGTACCAGAGTTGGAGGGTCTAAGGGTTTAGGTTTAGGGTTTAGGGTTCCGGTATAGGGTTTAAGGCACTGCGAAACAACAAGGAAATGGGCGTTGCGAGGCTCGAACTCGCGACCTTGGGATTATGAGACCCACGCGCTACCGACTGCGCCAAATGCCCGTGATGGGGCCCCAAAACCCCAAACACTAAACCCTAAACCCTAAACCCTAGATCCTTGAATGCATATCTCTAGTCTTGCATGCACAGGTAGCATCTAGTGCATGCGTTGCTGCACCTGGGGTTTGTGATGAGCTACTCAATTGTGTCATTGACATAAACGCTAATAGTATCCACTGCATAAACCCTAAACCCTAGACACTAAACTACAATCATGCACCCCTAGATCATATCCCCTTGCTAGTCCTAGCAACTACGCCCTACTGAGATTTAGGGCTGTCGGTTTAGAACTATAGGGTTTAGGGTTTAGGGTTTAGGGTTTAAAGTTTAGAGCAAACCCGTCTAAACATTTCAGCTCAGTTGGTAGTACGCTGGATTCGTAAGCCGCAGGTCCCGCGTTCAACTCTCGCATGTGTACAAAATAAATAAATAGAAGTAATTATTTATTTATTCCCCCCCCTTTTATGTAGTTATTTGTTTACCTGCATGCTAGAGTGTTTCTGTGGTGGTTTGCTTGTTCGTCTAAGATGCATTGTCTGCAAGCGAGGGTTTAGGGTTTAGGGTTTAGAAGGATGTCGTGTTGAAATGAAGATAAAATAAAATCGGGTTTGGGGTTTAGGGTTTAGGGTTTAGGGTTTAGGTTCTTGCTTCAATAATGTTTGCTTATCCTGCAGCAGCAGCGATTTAAGTCTATCTGTTTGCCTTCGTCTCTCTGCTTCCTCTCCCTGCAGCATTTGCTGCTCTGTATGCTGCTGCAGCTGCTGCAGCCGTTGTTGCTGCAGTGGCTGCTGCTGCAGCTGTTGTTGTTGCTGCTGCTGCTGCTGCTCCGTATGCTGCAGCGAAGAACCCCGCCGGTCTCCTAACCACTCACCTTTCCTCTGCAGCCGCCTTAGCAGCTGTTGCCTCTGCTGCTGCAGCTGCTGCAGCTGCTGCTGCTCTGGCAGCTCCGTTTGTCCGTGCCTTTGCTGCTGCTGCTTCTGCTGCTGCTGCTGCTGCTGCTGCTGTCTGTGCGCCACGTTACCAAGGAGGCTTTGGCTGCCCGCTGCTGTCAATTGTTGAGGGCTGCCGCAACGTGAAGTGTTGCTGCTGCGGCTTCTGCTGCTGTTGCTGCCGCTGCCGCTGTTGCTGCTGCTTCTGCTGCTATTGCTGCTGCACCTGAGGCTGCTGCTTCTGCTGCTGCTGATGTCGCTGTCGCTGTTCCCTCCGTACCTTAATGTATTTCTGTTGCTGCTGTTGCTGCTGCTGCTGTCTGCATCTGACGAGTTCTTAGAGTCTCCAATATAAAAGTATTTTGCTCTCCTCCTAAACCCTCCTCCTCCTCCTCTTCCTGCTGCTGCTGCTGCTGCCACTGCATGAGGGTGGCGAGGTCCTTCAGGAGGACGAGATAATACAGGGGAGAAAGCAGGTGCTCCTGCTGCTGCTGCTCGGCCGCTCCCATACCACAAATTGCTGTTGCTGTTGCTGTTGCTGCTGTCCTGCAGCAGCAGCAGGTTGCTGCTGCTTCTGCGTTTTACTAATCCCCCAACTCTCTTTGTTTCTCCTTTATGGGGACAGCAGCACTTGCTGCAGCAGCAGCTGGCTGTGTTCTCGCATGCACCTGCTGTTTGCTGCTGCTTCTGCTGCTGCTGCTGTTGCTGCTGCTCTAGCGACGACGCCACAGGTGCATGTGACTCTGCAGCCGTTTCTCGCTGTTTTTTATGCTGATCCAGCTGTTGTGGTTGCTGCTGCTGTTGCTGCTGCTGTTGCTGCTGCTGTTGCTGCTGCTGTTGCTGCTCTTCGGGTAGAGGCGAATGGATGCTGCTGCTGCTGCGGCTGTGGGGAGACACAGAGACAGGGGCAGCCCTTAGCAGCATATCACGACAGAAGAGACTCCTTGGATGCATCCAGCTATTTAGCTGCTGCTGTTGCTGCTGCTGCTGCTGCTCCTCTTGTTGGTGCTGCTTCAGGTGCCGCCAGTGCCAGTGTCGTTGCTGCTGCCTCTGCTGCTGCTTCTGCTGCTGCTGCTGCTGTCTCTTTAACTGCATGCAACGGGCAATGCTGCTGTCAGAGACAGCGCAGTCTGTGGGGCTACCCTCAGAGGTGGTCTGTACTTGCTGCTCCTGCTGCTCCTGCTGCTCTTGCTGCTGTTGCTGCTGCTTCTTTGAGGGAAAGAAAGGAGAAATAACGAGGCGCAAGAAGGGCCACAGACACCGCAGCAGCAAGGGAAATAACTGAGACAGAAGGGCAGCAGCAGCAACAGCAGCAGCAGCAAGAGAAAGCCATCGAAGTCTTAAACATTCTTGCTGCTGCTCGAAGGGTAGCATAGCAGCAGCATGCTGCCGCTGCATTTTCTGTTGCTGTTGCTGCTGCTGCTGCGGCGGCGGCAGTGGGGACACATTGGGCAGGAGCAGCAGCAGCGTGGACCAGATGCTGCTTTCAGCAGCAGCAGCAGGACTTTGCCAATGCATCCTTCTAGCAGCAGCAACGGCTGCTTGCTGCAGCTGCTGCTGCCAAGCCCCAAAGTTGCTGCCCTTACCACTGCATGCATTGAGGGCGTCTATTGCCTGGCAGCCGTGTATATAGAGGAGACGCAGCTGCTGCTCCTGCACCAGCAGCAGCAACAACAACAACAGCAGCAGCAACTGCAGCAGCAACGGGGAAGAGAAGAGACGATAAACCCCCCTAAAGACACGCAAGAGGGAAGACATGCATGCGTTAGTTTGCTGCTGTCCTAGTGTCTGTGTATGCTTGCTGCAGGTGCTGTTATCTTTGCTGCTGCTGCTGCTCCTCGTACTGCTGCCGCTGCTCATGCTGCTAATGCTGCTGCTGCTGCAGCTGTAGCAGCAAGGGCAAAACTCCGACTCCACTGCAGCAGGCATTACTGCGTCGGCAAAGAAAGTTGAGGTGTACGTACACCTCAATGGGTGTGATGTTCCGCTGCTGCTGCTGCAGCTCTTGCTGCTGCTGTTGCTGATCTTTTTTTTGCTATTGCAGCCGCTCGTGGTGTGGTTGCAATTGCTGCTGTCTCTGCTGGCGTTCCTGCTGCTGCTGCAGCTGAGCAGCACGGGAAAGGCCCCTTGGTGGTTTGTCTCTTGTAGGGTTTACGATTTTGATAGTTTGCGGCCGAGTGTGCAGGGTGTCTGCTGCTGCTATTAACGTCATGGAAGCAGCAGCAGCAGCAGCGGCAGCAGCAGCAGCAGCAGCTTCAAATGGTGTAACAGTACTAGGGGGGGCAAAAATAGCCAAGAAAAATAAATAAGTAAGAATTGAATCAAACCTGGCAGCCAACAAAGAAGCAGAGCGACCAACGGCAAGACGTTAAAATATGATAGCAGCAGCAGCTCAGTGCAGCAGCACTAGCAGCAGCGCCAACAGCAGCAGCAGCGGGGGGTCAGTAGCTGTTGGCAAGACGAGAAAAAAACGCTAATTAGACTAACGAAGATAATAAAACAATATATGATTAACAATAAAAAACAAAGAAAATAAAGAAAATAAAGCATGTAGAGGGCTCAATAGACCTGTCTGTTAGCAGCAGGTTGGTGCAGTGGTCCATTGGTCACCTCGCGTCTGCTGTGTGTGCTGGAAGCAGCGAAAAAATGCCATTTTTGTTGCTTCCTTTTGCACAATAAATTAAACAACATTAATACAATTTAACAAGGCAAATAAAATGGGACTTTTACTAGCAAAAACGCCCATGATGGCGGGGTTACCCATGGTCATTGGGCTCCCCGTCGGGCGCGGCGGAACATACACCCGTAATAAACCGCATACTGCGCCTCGATTTGTTTTATTTTTTTAATTCATTTAAATATTTGTTCATTAATTTTATTTAAAATAATTTATTTGGTTCTATTTAATACAAAAAAAAGCGCGAAGTGCTGTAAGGGCATAAGCAACGAAGAACCCCTCGATGCGTACAAGGGTTTTTTTGTACAATCGCCTACTTAACCCAAAATAAAAAAATAAAACATTAATTTAAATTATTTTTTATATTTAAATAATTATTTTAATTTAAATATCATAAAATAATTAAATAATTAAATTTGTTAACTATTTAATTGGTGGTTTAATTGGTGAGCGCACCACAGCAACAGACGAACGAGCGAGGTGCCCACATATCTGCTGACTGTATATTAATAATGGCAGAAGGAAGCAGCAATTGCTGCTGCACATTTCTTGCCTTTTCTCTGTTTTATTCCTTATAAAATAAATTAATAAATAAAAAATAGATAAGAATAAACAAAAAATAAGTATAATTATCCAATTCAAGACAGAAGGAAGACAGCAAGAAGATGCGCCGCCGTTGTTTGTGGGTATAGGCGTATATACAAAACGGTCTTAATTTCTTTTTTAATAAAAAGAAGAAAATAAAAAAGAAATAAAATAAATAAAATAAATAATAAAAAGAATAAAATAAATAAAATAAATATATTAATTAAATAAATAAGCTAGTGGGCATTGCGAGGCTCGAACTCGCGACCTTGGGATTATGAGACCCACGCGCTACCGACTGCGCCAAATGCCCTTGATCGGAACCCTAAACCCTAAACCCTAAACCCTAAACCCTAAACCCTAGAAGACAAACCCTAAACAATAAAGCATAAACCATAGAGCCTACGGCATAAAGGCTAACGCTTATACCCTAAAACATAAACAAAGGAGCCCCATGATACGGCTTATCGTTGAGGGTTTAGGGTTTAGGGTTTAGGGTTTATAGCTGATGGTATAGGATTTACGGTTTAGAGTTGAAGCTTGAGGGTTTACGACGAGGATAAAAGAGAGAAGGGGATAAAAGGAGGTAAAAGGAGACAGTAAGAGATAAAAGGAGACAATAAGAGATAAAAGGAGACAGTAAGGGATAAAAGGAGACAATAAGAGACAGCAAAGGAGATAAAGAGAGCAAAAGAAACAAAAAAGGCGTTGTTAGACTCACGCACTCAAACCCTAAACCCTAAACCCTAAACCCTAGAACCCTAAACCCTAAACCCTAGAAGATGGGCATTGCGAGGCTCGAACTCGCGACCTTGGGATTATGAGACCCACGCGCTACCGACTGCGCCAAATGCCCGTGGTGGGGCCCACAAACGCCAAACCCTAAACCCTAAACCCTAAACCCTTGGGCGAGTGAAGGAGGTATATTAAGGGGCAACCTCCGTGAATTTGTCTTATTGTGCATGCAGCACTTGGGGGAGGCGGCACTTAACCAGTCATCATTATAGATCCCCCATAGCAGGCTAGCTAGCTAGCTAGTTGGCTAGCTAGATAGTTAACTAGCTGAATAGCTAGACAGCAAGCTAGCTGGATAGTTAGACAGCAAGCAAGCAAGCAAGCTAGCTAGCTAGCTAGCTAGCTAGCTAGCTGCTGCTAGTTACCCTCGCGTATTTATGTGGGACAGCAGATACAAAGTCTTCCATGAAGGGAGAATGGAAGAAGGAATATTAACCCTTTTTAGAGGGTTTAGAGAGGGTGTATAGGGCCTCGATAAGCTAAACCCTAAACCCTAAACCCTAAACCCTAGCTACCTCTATATACAGCAGGGATGGTCACAAGGGAAATCCGACGGCTAGAGCAACCCAACTAGCAAAACCCCCACAACACATTTCTCCTGTTTCCTTTCATTTTGATTGAAAAGAAGTGCAAGGGTTTAGGGTTTAGGGTTTAGGGTTTGGGAATTAGGGTTTAGGGTTTACGGTTTCAGTGCAGCGTGCAGCAGCCGGGCGGCGCCACCGAAGCTGTTCTCCCTATATAAAAGGAAATCTTCTTTTAATATAAATAAATATTATTATTAATGTTATTAAAGTTTTGTTTATGAGGGTTTAGGGTTTGGGGTTTAGGGTTTAGGGTTTAGGGTTTTTAGTCTTGCATGCGGTGGAACGGCAGCGCCGACAGCCCTGCTGCTGCAATGCCATCCTTCCTTGCTGCAGCAGCAAATATGTGCTGCAGCAGCGCAGCAGCAAGAAAAAAACAGCAACAGCAGCAAGTTTTAATAGCTTTTTCTTAACGCCGTTATGCTGCTATCAGCTATACGGACACCAGCAGCAGCAGCAGCAGCAGCCGCTGTTGCTGCTGCCGCTAGCCCAGTGGCATCAACTACCGTAGCAGCAGCAAGAACAACAACAACAACAGCAGCAGCAGCAGCTCAGCAGCAGCAGCACCTAAGATTGGCACTGCAGCGCAGACACTTCAGCATCTTCGCAGGGTGGAAGGGAGATGCAGCAGCAGCAGCAGCAACAGCAGCAGGAAAAGAAGCAGCAGCAGGAGCAAAAGATAATGCAGCAGCAGCAAGCAAGACCGCTAAAGACACAATAAGCACTGCAGCAGGAAATATTGCTGCAGCAGCAGCAGCAGCAAACCCCAAGGCAGCAATAAGCAGCATTAGCCCTTCCTCATACATCAGCTCCACAGCAAAACCCAGCAGCAGCAGCAGCAACAACAACAACAACAGCAACAGCAAAAGCAGCAGCGACTGCAGCAGCAGCAAGGGACTCTTTTCCTTCTTCAGAGGCAGCGCAGCAGCAACACCAGCAGCAGCAGCAGCAAATGCCGCATCTCCTTCGAAGCTGTTTCCTACAATTGAGAAGAGCAGCAGCAGCAACAGCAGCAGCAGCAGCAGCGACAGCAGCAGCAGCAGCAAGAAGCGACGTGTCCCCTTGCTGCAGCGGCTTAAGTATTTTACGTTAGGTTTCTTCACTGCAGGGACTTGCTGCTTGCTGCTGCAGCAGCAGCAACTCGAGAACAGCAGCAGAGCAGCAGCGCATGCAGCAGCAGAATTAGCAGCAAGAGTCTCAGCACTAGAGAATAAAGTTAAGCAGCTGCAGCAGCAGCAACAGCAGCAGCAGCAGCATCAAAAACAGAAGCAATAAGAGCTGCAGCTCTTTGCTGTTGCTGCTGCTGCAAACTGTTAAAACACCTGCTGCCAGCAGCAGCAGCAGCAACCTTGCTGCCTGCAGCAGCAGCAGCAGCAGCAGCAGCAACTTTGCTGCAGTTTGAGGTGTATGTACACCTCACATCTGCTAGACGATATCTTTCCATCCTCTTATACTTGTGCACACAATCAACACTCTGTACTTACCTACCTAGCTGGCTAGCTAGCTAGCTACCTACCTAGCTGGCTAGCTAGCTAGCTAGCTGGGTAACTAGCTAGCCAGCTAGCCAGCTACCTAACTGGATAGATGGACAGCCACCTAGCTAGCTAGCCAGGCTCGTAACTAGCTAGCTAGCTAGGTAGCTAGGTAGCTAGCTACCTAGCTAGGTTGGGAGGGCACTAGGGATTAACACGATAGCTATTAGTAATAGTTGGCTAGCTGCTGCAGCAGCAACACTTGCTGCAGCAGCAACACCTGCTGCAGCAGCAACACTTGCTGCAGCAGCGACATCTGCTGCAGCAGCAACACCTGCTGCAGCAGCAACACCTGCGGTGTATTGGCAGCTAAAACCTTCGCCTCCTCTAGCCCCCTAAATAGGGAAGAGGAAAGATAGCTAGCTACACACCTAGCTAGCTAGCTAGCTAGCTAGCTAGCTAGCTAGCTAACTACACGGCTAGCTAGCTAGCTAACCAACTACACAGCTAGCTAGCTAGCCAACTAACTACACAACTACCTATATAGCTACATATACAGCTAGCTATGTAGCTACTCAGCTAGCTACTGATACTAAGGTACCTGCTGCTGCTGCTGCAGCAGCAGCAGCTGCTGCTGCTGTACAGCTGCCTCGTGGGCATTAAGGGAGTATAGTTACTGCCGTAAGGTGAAACGTTTTGTTGCTGCAGCAGCAGCTGCAGCTGCAGCTGCTGTTGTTTGTGCTGCAGCAGCAGCAACTGCTGCTGCTGTTAGTTGTGCTGTACAAGCTGCTGCAGCTGCTGCTACAGTTGCTGCTGCAGCTACAGCAAAGGAATGACTGTAAGGAATAGGAAAGTAGCAGCAGCAGCAGCCGCTGCTACACAGAATGAGGGAAGAAGGCAGCACTGCTGCTGCTGCTGCAGTTGCTGCTGCTGCAGTTACTGCTGCTGCAGCAGCCGCCCGACACACACAGTATGCAGCAGGTGTACATACACCCCAAGCCGCTGCAGCAGAGCTGCAGCAGCAAAGCTGCATCTGCTGCTGCCACACAAAACTTGCCACTAGGCCACAAACATAGCTGCTGCTGCTGCTGCTGCAGCACCTGCTGCTGCAGCAGCAGCAACTGCTGCTGTCGCTGCAGCACCTGCTGCTTCTGCTGCAGCATTACGCTGCACACTGCTGCAGCGTCATCATCTGCTGCAGCGTCATCTGCTGCTGCTGCTGCATCATTTGCTGCTGCAGCACCGTTTGCTGCTGCAGCTTCATCTCCTGCTGCAGCATCATCATCTGCTGCTGCAGCACCTGCTGCTGCAGCATCAGCTGCTGCTGCTGTTCCAACACGAAACCCTGCTGTTCTTGCTCCTGTTACTGCTGTTGCATGTGCTATTGCTGCTGCTACTGATGCAGCAGCAGCAGCAGCAGCAGCAGCAATTTACTTCTTTCTTTTATCTAGATCAAGGGGACGAGGAGGCATAGGTTGGGGTGTATGCGCAACTTCCCTACCAAAGCGATGATGAGGAAGAGGAGGTTTGCTGCCTGCTGCTGCTGCTGCTGCTTTCTGTGCTGCTGATGTATCTGCAGCAAAGACTTTCTTGTTGCTGCGCTTGCTGCTGCGTCTGTTGCGGCGGCAGCAGCAGCAGAATAAGAAGCGGCAGCAGCGCAGCAGCACGCATCCAGATAGATATGCTGCTGCTAGCAGCAGCAGCAGCAGCAGCAACCTTCCTTGTATATCTGCAGCAACCATAGGACGTAGATGGGGCTGGTGTACATACACTGCAGCAAGTGCAGCATCTAGCTGCTCATTTGCTGCTGCTG